AAAAAATCTTCATTTCCATTTGCTACTAAGTCCTAAAGATCAGTGTCTGGGCTACACTATTTAACTGGCCTTTCCTAAAAAATACAAGTGGTCATGGGAGACTTGGAAGCAGATATTTATTTCCTTTATGATCTTCACCATGCATTTCCTTTTGTTTCTCAACTTCTCTAGCATACCAAGGGAAGACTTCCATTAGTACCGTGGGCACCTCCACTTCTGCTTACCGCCTGAGCCTGGCCACCATGTCCCGCTCTAACACGGGCACGGGCACTGTCTGGGAGCAGGACAGTGAACCATCCCAGCAGGCTTCACAAGACACCCTGAGTCGGACTGACGAGGAGGACGAGGAAAGTAGGTCACCCCAAGGAATCCAGTGGGAGTCACAGGAACAGCACTTGGGAAAGAAGACTTGGGAAAGATTTCTGCCCTTCCAACATTTTTAGTTCTGATCTCTTAGTCATTTTACAAAAGGCGTGCAAATTGGAATTGTCACTGATCCCATGATTTCTAATGCCTGCTATGCTTTAGATTCTTTGGTATTTGGGGCCATTTGGAAAGAATTCATGAAAAAGGTAAATCTTTAGTAGTGATACCTAAATTTCCCATGTATTTAACCGTTACTAATGCCTGTTTAAATGGTAAGTAAGTAGGGAAATGCTTATTCCCCTTTCTCCTGGACATCCTTTTTAGTGAGTTGATGAGCACTTACGTGACCTGGCTGGGCAAGGAAAAGCAGACAATGCATGTGCTTAGGACTCCATGAGTCCATTCACCTGCACTAGCCAGTAGCTGGTCTCGAGTGGATGCAACCTAAATTGGAGTTAAGAGAACTCCCAGTGATTGATGAGCCCAGGAGCTTCTAACTCATGTGCCAAAGACTTAGTGTTATTGAAATAAAGAGAAATATAGTCAAGAAACATTTTATATGTATCCTTAACAAGAATAGGTGTTAAAAAGTTGAGCAAAAGTTTCCATTGTATGCCATTACCATTTAAGAAGTTTCCAAATTGTATTTTTCCCACTGTGTTTTTTAATTTTTATTTATTTATTTGAGAGGTAGAGAGACAAACAGAGACAGAAAGAGGTCGCCCATCTACTGGTTTACTCCCTAAATACCCACAACAACCAAGGCTGAGCCAGGCAGAAATTAGGAGATAGGAACTTATCAAAGCATTCTGCCGTGTGGGTGACATGGACTCAGCTATGAGTCATCATTAGCAGGAAGTTAGCTGGAACTTGAACTCAGGTACTCTAACATGGGTTGCAAGCATCCCAACAATTTGTTTAAATAACTACATCAAACATGTGCTCCTCTACTTGTGTTTTCAGTCTCTCTGATATGACATTTATAGCAAATTTGTGCTGTCAGTAATTTAAAAGGGGACAAATTCTGTATCCCAACTAAGTACCTCTCTATACCAAGCAGTTACAAAAACATTCCACTCTGAACTAAATTAAAAGAGGAAATCAGACTGTAAGGTTAGAATTTTAATTAAGATGAGTGAAAGTATTTTAATTTGACACTACAATTTGGTGTGTCAGAAGAAAAGAAATAAAAGCTTTGTCAAACCAGTTTTCAGGGGAGCAAGCATTTAGTTTAGTGGTTAAGACACCCATGTCCCACGGTGGTGTATCTGGGATTGATACCTGACTCTAGCTCCCTACTCCAGGTTCCTGCCAATACAAATGCAGGAAGTGGTGGTGGCTCAAGTACTTGGGTGTGAGAGACCTTTATTGATTTCTAGGTTCCTGACTTCAGCCTCCCAGCCTCAGGCAATGAGGACATTTGGGGAGTAAACTAGCAGATGAAAGATCTCTGTTTCTCTGCCTTTCAGCCAAATTTAAAGTTGCAATTAGACAAATCATGAAGTATCTTGACCAAGAAAACAATAAGAGAAACAGTAATCAGCAGTTTAAAAATCCATGAAGTTGTGGTAACAGTTCAGAACTTAAAAGTAAAATAAAAAAAGTAAAATCCATTTTTATGTAATGCTTGAAATAGTTTCTTCCAGCAATTTTGTTTTCTAGCGATAGGAAATGACACAATCTATCTTTTATGGGGCTGAAGCTATTTTACAGGTAACCTTATGAATAACTAGATGGTTGTAGATAGTTTAAGGGGCTTTGGAAGAGGAGTAGGGAAGACCTACACAGAAATATCAATGGTAAGAGCCAATATACTAATGAGGTGTGTTGTGGGGGAGCAAGGGGTTTGGAATGAGGCAGCATGCAATTTTTGGATATTATGTCTGTTCTGAGACATCACAAGGCTACTAATAAATGGTGGAGTATGGTTGTGTTATATTAATTTATATAAGGAGGGGTATGAAAGCCCGATTGTTGACTGCTTTGTATTAAACTATTTTCCCATTCAATCATAAAACCTGTATTAAGACTTATCCAGGTATAAGATGACTAACGAAGTATGAGAAAGATTTGCTCTCTTCTCTGTAAGGTATTAGATACAGTCTTGTAGAGGAGATAATAGACATTTACAACAAAGAACACTTTAAAAAGGTTTAACGGGAGTCATCACAAGATTAATCACCTAACAAATATTGGACATATGCATGTTAAGTGACAGATATGCTCAAAGGGCATAAAACAAATGAGAACTAAGAAAGGCACTCAGAGAAATAGCTGAATCTGTCCTACCTTGGTTTTCTCATATTTAAGGCAGCTTTGCTACTATCTGTGAACATACCTAAAAAGGACTATCATACTATAATAAGTATCAATTTCAGATCAGCCATTATCTAACAAATTAAAATTTCTAGGAACACTTTTCATATTCACCTTTTTATTTGAAATAGGTTTGCTCAGAAATATGATCACTTAGCGGTAGGCATTGTAGTACAGCAAGTTAAGCCACCACTGAGACACAAGCATCCCATATGGGTATTGATTTGAGTCCTGGCTGCTCCACTTTCAATCCAGCTCCTTGTTAATGTGCCTAGGAAAGCAGTGGAAGATGGCCCAAATACTTGGGCTTCTGTACCTACATGGGAGACGTGGAAGAAGCTCCTGGCCTAGGTCTGGCTCTTGCAGCAATTTGGGGAATGAACCAGCACAAGGAAAATCTCTTTCTCTCCATGTCTCTCCCTCTCTCTCTGCCTTTCAAATAAATAAATCTTTTTTAAAAAACAAATATGATCACTTGGGTATTTTAAATAAATAGCATCAGGGGCCAGTGTAGCGGCACAACAGGTTAAGCTGCAGCTTGCAATGCTGTCATCCCATATTGAGTCCTGCCAGCTCTACTTCTGATCTAGCTTCCTGCTAATGTGCCTGGGAAGGCAGTGGAAGACAGCTGAAGTACTTGGGCCCCGTCACCCATGTGGGAGACCAGGATATAATTCCTGGCTCCTGGCTTCAGACTGGCCCAGATCTGGCTGTTGTAGTCATTTGGGGAATGAACCAGTGGATGGAAGATCAATCTCTCTATTGCTCCTTCTCTCTTTCACTGTTTGTGTGTGTATGTGTTTGTGTGTCTCTCTTTCTCCTATTCTGCTTTTCTAAAAAATAAAATAAATAGTATCAGTGCTGGCACTGTGGCATAGAAGGTTAAGCCACTGCCTGCAGTACCAGCATTCCATATGGGTGCCGGTTTAAGTCCCAGCTACTCTTTCTAATCCAGCTCCCTGCTAATGCACCTGGGAATGCAGCAGAAGATGGTCTAAGTGCTTGGGCCCCTGCCATCCACATGAGAAATCTAGATGAAGCCCCTGCCTTTGGCTGATCCAGCCCTGGCCATGGCAGCCATTTGAGGGAGTGAACCAGTGGATGGAAGATTCTCTCTCTCTCTCTCTCTCTCTCTATCCTTCTCTCTGTAAATAGATAAATCTTTATTTATAAATAAATAAATCTTTAAAAATAAATAAGTAAATAGTATCAGATGATATGACATGGCACTTTGACAAATGCCAGTATGCTTATTGAAGTATGTTAATGTTCACCAACAAATAAAACAACTTAGCTCACAAATACTTGTGAGGCCTTGTCACAAATAGTGTGCTCAAGTTAATTTTATATGGATTCGAATCCATTATTTTCTGCTTCTTACTATCTGGAGAAAATAAAATTACATTCTTAAATTTTAAAATTTATGCTAAAATATGCATTCATTTCTGAGCTTTAGTTTTTTAACTGTTTGTCTAAAGTATCTGAAATAAATTTCCCCTCAGCACCTAGAAATCAGTAAATGTACCACATGCAGTTTTTGAATGTCAAGGAAATGTAATTGTCTCATTCAATAACAAAGTCCCTATTGAACTACTCCTGGAATGTTTTAAAATTTGTATTCCAGCTTTCCTGAAATCCGCAATTTGCAGATGCTTGTTGACCTTCACAGTATATTTATAAAAAAGGCAAGAAGTTTATATTTATTTAATGAAGGCTGCTCTAGTGTGTGGTTGTGGGAGATGCATAGATGCGAAAAATTATTGGTCTCGGATAAAAAACTAAGACTTTGAAGGTCTTACAAAGGAACCAATGATAATATAGCTTTGAAGATAGTCTGAAGATTGAATTCAAGCCAAGGATAGAACACAAGTACAGATCTGGTCGGGGTTTTCTGATCAGTGTCATAGTTTTCCTGACACTCTATTGCTTTGCTCCTTTCAGATGACTCCGTAAGCATGCCCAGTGTGGTAAGTGAACAAGAAGCTTACCTCCTGAGCGCCATCGGAAGGAGGCGGTTCTCCAGCCACGTCTCCAGCATGTCTGCACCTCAGGCAGAGGTGGGCATGTTACCCAGCCAGAGGTAAGGAGCCATGACTATATTACACTCTGTATTTGGGGGCAAACATAGAAATTCTTAAAATACACTCCTGTTATTCCACAAAGACTGAAAGTAATACAAGTAATGGTGATGTTTTTTAAGTAGAACATCCACCAGAGGACTTATCAACTAGGTTCTGGCAAGCAATAATTTGCAGTTTTCTAAATCAGGTTCGTAGAAGGGAACCTAATTTCTGATTCAACGATTGCCTCTCCTTAAACATTTTCCATAGATAGATAAGTGGTCTTCTCTTTGGTTGTCAAATGGCATTCTTGTATTTCAGTTTTGTTATTACTGAGCTAATAATGAAGAGTACTTAGCAAGTATATAGGACCAGTTTGATGCCTTCGTTAAAGTTTAGGCTTCTGACATGCCATCAGTATGCAGTTGCAGGTGGTGATGCTTAACCAAGAAGAGAAAGAACTGTGCCACTATGCATGACATTGAGAAGGTCATTTAACAATAGCCCACAATTGGCTATTGTGAGTTTTGGAGGCTGGCTAAAGTGAATTTTTAAGATCACCTCCATCTACAGTTCTATGATTTCATGACTAAACTATTTTTAACATTTTCTTTATGTGTTCACTGCCTTCTATGAATTTAAGTTAAAAAAAACCCTTATACGCTATATTTACAATTAAAATATAACATAGAAAATGATCTGACGTAAGTCTAAATATTATTTAAGAACCAATGATATTTTCACCTCAGGAACTGGATTTTTTCAAACACTCGACTTTATGTGATTTTAGTTACTTTGCTGCTTATTTTTAACACCATAGATTCATAGTAGTATAATGCATATATAGAAAATGATAAAAGCCAAGGCACATTGTAATGTTCAGATAAAACAAATTTATATGCATGAATAATTATCCTATACCCCCAAAAAAGCTTTAGCAAACAGTTCAGGAACTACATAGATGAAATGAAATTTGTGAAATCAAACCTGAATTTGGAGAATATTAAAGTTTAGGAGAGCATGATAGGAGATGATTCTTAAGTAAATTTGATACTTTTTAAAAATACAATATTTTATGTTAAGTACTATTTCATTATTACAAATATTAATAATTTATAAAAATACCTGCCATTCTAACAGATTATTGTACCTATCATTTGGTAATTTCCCTTTGAAAAAAATTAAATGTGTAAACAAACTCAGAGCCAAAAAAATAACATGTCCAAAGAAGATGTAGTCATAAAAGCAGTTCACATTGTGGCTATCAATTTATTTTCAGTTACTAGCAATGTGCAAGAGTCTGACAAGAATAAAGTTACCAATTTATTTAAATGTTTTTAAAATTATAGAATAGGAGGGATTTTAAATGAGGGTTTTTTTTTGTTGTTTTGTTACTTACCTAAAATAAATGGGCTATCAATTTTCTTTCTAAATATCCATTAAGGACTTAATTCATTTTCAAGGAGAAAATCTGTCCTGTTATTAACTTGCTAGAAATGCAGAAAAAATATAGTTTAACCCTCTGGGCTTCAGCCATTGTTTTTGGAAGACTTGTGAAGCTAATACTACCTCTATATATTAGAGACAGTGAACTCCTTCCTGGGGACAGAGGCCCTTCTTACAGTGTGCATTTAGGTAATCTCAATTCTTTGGGGACAGGCATTCCAGTTTTCAAAATGGTTTATTTCCATTTAATTTAACAGCTCTGTATTGAGTGCCTTGTGTGCACTTAGCTCAAGGCTAGGCACCAAAGGAAAGACAGTAAAGTAGGACAGTTTCTGTTTACAAATCTCAGATTAGCTACCTCTAAATAAATCAAGAAATGATGTAATTATTCTCTTACCAGACTGACAGGTTTCTTGTTTTGGTATCTATAAGTCTGTCACTAGAGGATGGAAAGTAAGGAGGTAAATGTGAGTTCCATATGAATTCCCCATGATATCTTCCCTCCACTCATTTACTTGCATTTTTATTGCAAACTCAGCGGGAAAAGTTTGGTTCTTTCTTTTTTTTCTTAATGGCATCAGTTCCAAGAGTTTGACTGTGGTGGTTCATGGTAAGTGGTTTCTGTGTGATAATGTAAGAATGCATAAGAAGCAGGATCTTGATCACTGAAACACCATGTACATAAGATAAGTTAAAAATAATAACCACCTACTTATATGATTACCAAAGGAATGACAGCTTCATCCTGTACAGATTCATTCTGCAATGTGATTCAGAGCTCACGTGTGTCCAGTTAGAGCTCATTTTAACTTTCGACCAGTAAATAGATCACTCCTCTGAGAGTTGTTCATTCAAAGTCCTTCCTCCCCCATTGCCTTGAGTCCTATGTCGCGACAAACCCAGCACAAGGTGAAATGGTTGACTGTCTCCTTTTCCTTCCTTGTTCTGTTAAATTTATTTATTTTTGGTTCTTGGAAGCAGAATATCGCATGCCTTTTTTTCTTTTTTTCTTTCCTTTTATCATTTTCTTTCCCTAAATGCTTCATCTCCCTACCCCTCCTGCAGTGAACCTAATGTCCTCGATGACTCCCAGGGCCTGGCCGCCGAGGGCAGCCTCTCTAGGTACAGTGTCAATGCTACCTGTCTATTGGTGTCTGTGCTGGGAAACTAGCTGTTTCCTGTCTCCTCTGTCTCTCTGTCTCCTCTTGCCCCGTCTTGATATCTATTTCCATACCTTACCCTTTGTTGTTCATAAACACACGAGCCTGGAAGTCAAAGGTGTAGTAAACCCTCCATTTTCAGCTTCAGAGATCAATCATAAATGGTCTAAAAAGTTTACTAGAGAGAGACAGACAGAAAGAAAGAAAACAACAACAATAAAAAAAGCAAAATTCTGTGTAATATTCTATGAGTTTTATCCCAAAAAGGTCTAAAATGTTTGATGTGCCAAATGTTAAATGTATCCCATCTAATCATTCCTTCCCTCACTGATATTGCATTAAAAATGCCTTTTAATACAAGTGCTTATTATCAGGAAGCCCCTTATTAAATCAAGATAGGACTTTTAGCTAATAAGAGCACCATGGATGGTAAGAACACAAAGAATGGTAGGAGGATGTTATAAGAACAGCAGTATCACTGTAATTTATGGAATTCCTTTTCCTTGATGCATGCTATTTGGTAGGCTATTATAGTTATGTATTCAAACAATGCTTATATAAAGAATATCTGTTCTTTGGAGTACCTTGTTGACTCCAAAATTTGCCATTGAAATATCAGATATAAACATTTCTTGGTAAGTAAGAGAAGTCTTATGAAGTAAACAACAGAATGCTTTGGCTATTGGTTTAAACCTTAAGAAAAGGGGACTGCACCTTTAACACTCAGATAAACCATGTCAAACATTCCTAATCTTGTGCTGTTGATTCACTCCTCTCAACTAATCCTCATTAGGAGTAATGCTTCTTGTTGATCCTTAGAGTGTCTTTGTTCCATCTCAAGAGAAAACATTCCCTTTCAGGTTTGCATCGTTATAGTTAGTACAATACACCTGTGTTTATTGCTTTATCACAAAGATGAGGAAATGTTGAGAGGCCGTTCCTGTGAAAGGTTGTCTTTTATTTTCTTTGCATCTTGTTCAGATTTCACATTTTCTTTTGCAATTGAAAATGAGAAATTTAGTCTACCATCAGGTTATCTTTTTATTTTTTTACTGGACCCATAAATCATGACATTCATTTGTGTTTGCGAGCCCTTGCCTTGACAGAACAGTCTCTTACTGGTGGTAAATGTGGAAGTGCTGCAGAGTGCAGGCTTAATTCCATTAGCAGGAGCTCAGGGACCTGGGAAGAAGAGGTTGAGAAACAAAATGATCTTCAACAGTCCCCCTCCCCGCCCCCGACTATTCACTGAAAGATCTGAACCCAGTCCAGCCAGGTGGCCATTGCTCTCAAAGAATGCATTTGTTTAATGCTTGTTTAAAATTACACATGGGATTGGAGGAACTTAATGACAAGATCATTTCAGTGGCCTGCTGAGAGTATAAAGTATTAAATCCAATTTCCATCTGGCTGGCTTTGTGCTGGAACTTTTCTTACTATGCCAAATTCTACTCTTGCTGAGTAGGTGCTAGTAGTTCAGGGTTGGTGAGGGAAGGTACAAGTTTAATTTTGTTGGTCTGAATTCTCTGGAAGGTCAGGGTTCAAATGACTGGAGTTATTTATACCAATTCAGTCTGCTCTGCGTCCAGTGTCAGTGGGAATAAACCCAAAGTTCTTATTAAATGTGACTGGTTCAGAGCCAAAGCCATAGATTTTAATATAACTGAATTGGTCTAGCATGTCTTTGATGACTATATTAGACCAACTGTTGTTGATCTATTGTTCCTGTTACCATTGTGTTTTAGTTCTGATTGTCAGTCACCCAGCCCCAGATGTGGTCCTTAAGAAATAGGACGATGAGGCAGTCACTTTGGATTCTGAAATAATTGAATTAATTCAGAGGCATTCCAACAAGCAGTAGCACATCCACCTTTGCCATATGCTACAAATATTATCTCTTGAACTCCATCATGTCACCAAGTTCTCTTTGGAGGAGAGGAACTTTTGGCATTTACTAAGAGGTGGGTTTACAAAATAGAGTAGTACCTTTTATATTTGGTTTCCAGGCTTTCTTACTTTTGGCATGAAACTTCTGTATGCTGCAGATTCTTAAAATTCCAAAGCAGTAGGGCATTAACTGTGAATTACATTTAACACACACCGCAGCACTCAGGACCTAAGACACTCCAGTAGTCATATGGAAAATCTGGCGCAAGAAAGATTAGAGATGATCAGGAAACATACCTAAAGGAAAATAATGCTCTTGCTCTCCCTGCCCCCATAGCATCTTGCTAAACTTTCATGGAAATTTGCTTTTGAAAGAGCACCTGTTTTAGACAAAAGGGGCAGGTTGGATTGAGAGGGCTAGATGAGGAAGAGACCAAGATAATCTGATGAATCAGCAAAAAACAACAAAAATTTTTGCACACCTATTGAAAACTTTATCTGGGATTAAAAAAAAAAAAAAGAAAAACAGTGTTAATAGATTTCCATTAAAGAGTCATCCCAGGAACTACCCTGGCAGAAACACTGTTCTCTGAATGCTGTTCTCTGGAGAGCTTTGCAGTTAGGGGTGTAGAAGCCTGTTACCTCACCCTTAAATACACACACATCACCAACATGTTTTCCCTCCAGAAAAACAGAGACATATAGAAGCTATTCAAGCGCTTCAAAGTGGCTGTTTATACTTGAGAATTAGGTCTTGTTTGGACATGTTAGAATATTCTGAAAGGCAGGAAATGGCAGTCAAGTCTAATTTTAAACAAGAGATTAAGATGCTATTTGGTTCTGTATGGGTAAGTTTAATCACAGTGGAAAATAAGAATGTGACTCAAGTTTAAACAAGACTATAAAAGTCTAGGTGAGGTGAAATAAAAATAAGCTGTTTATTGGAACCCTTGTCATGTTCATCTACATTTTCAAAGCAAGAAAACTTGCCAAGTACTCTTACAAAGAAAAAAATTCAAACAACTTTTTTATATAGCCACAAATTAATGGCTAAGAAAATGCATGTGTGATACACAGATATGTACATTGCATTGCTAAATCAGTTCTTACAGGGTATCTAAGATCCAAATTACCCTTTTTCAATCTGTCTCTAGCCTCTAATCTCTAAATTCTGGGGTCCTTAAAATATATTTATTTGGATATTGTGGAGGCTGAGTAAATTTTAAACAATAAGCTTTTATTCAGAAAGGGAAAAGTAGAATTTAGTCTACTGTTCACTTCCCCCTTCTCTACAATGTCTTACAGGTTCCTTGGGGGCAGACTATATGGGTTCTTGTCTAAAGGCAATCACTCAGGATAAATGGCTGTGCTACTAGTAGTCTTATGTTCTGCATCTACCACATTAAAATTGAAACAAGAGCACAGATTGAAACAATGAAAATAGAGATTCATTTTTCCCTGTGCTGGTCTGTTTCTATTTAAATTTCTATATGAAATCTACTTCCATCTATAATTTTTTTCATAATTTGACTTGAGTGATATGAAGTTTTGTTGTATTACTGAATGGCCCCTTGGCTGCCTATCCTTTATTTTAGGAAACACTATGAAGTAGATATCCCATTAGGAGACAGATGTGTATTTACACACTACAGTCCAGACCATCATGCTGAAACAGGGAAATGTGGGTCAGAATTCTTTTCCTAACATTGTCTGAATTTCCCTAGCTTATAAATTATGTCGTTGTCTTTTTAAAAAATTAAAAAAGAGAAGGAAGGAAGGATACAGGGAGAGCATGTTCCCATCTGTGGGTTCACTCCCCAAATGCCCACAATGAACTGGGCTCAATCCAGGTCTCCCACAGGGTTGGTAGAACCCCAACCCTTTGAACCATCTCCTGCTGCTTCCCAGGGTCCACTTTAGGGAGCTGGAATTGGGGACCAGGGCTGTGTATAGAACCCAGGTGCTCCAGTGTGGGACACAGGCATGTTTACTGCTAGGCCAAATACCCGTCCCCTGTCTTTGCATTTTGAAAAAGATATTTTGAGTTTTACAGTTTGAGTCACACCAGTTCTGCTGACCTTCAACTGCATATACTTCTCTAAAATTCAGACCATTATATGGTTTGCTATAGTGATATTTTGCAGCAACTCAAACTTTAAGGGATGATTTCCTTCAAAATGTATTGTAATTTGTTAGTTTCAACTTGGGAAGCTTTATTTGCTTTTATCTTTATTATTTTGCCCTAATATTTAGCCAATACAGTAGAACTCTATCATTTCTCATTCCCCAAATCACAGATTTCAGGAAACCAACTTTCTTTTTTTTTTTTTTTTTTTAATTTTTTGACAGGCAGAGTGCACAGTGAGAGAGACAGAGAGAAAGGTCTTCCTTTTTGCCGTTGGTTCACCCTCCAATGGCCGCCGCGGCCAGCGTGCTGTGGACAGCGCACTGCGCTGATCCGATGGCAGGAGCCAGGTACTTACCCTGGTCTCCCATGGGGTGCAGGGCCCAAGCACTTGGGCCATCCTCCACTGCACTCCCTGGCCACAGCAGAGAGCTGGCCTGGAAGAGGGGCAACCGGGACAGAATCTGGCGCCCCGACCGGGACTAGAACCTGGTGTGCCGGCGCCGCAAGGTGGAGGATTAGCCTAGTGAGCCGCGGCACCGGCCTACGGAAACCAACTTTCTAAGACTGAATTTTCAGTACTCGTCCTGTTACTCTGACGTATCTTGACATAGTCTCAACTTTTCAATTTTCATGACTCTGATACATGAAATAGAAATTCTAGTTATTCTAAAGCATCCAGTGGCTTACTGGAATATGATAATTTAACATCCAAGACCACCAAATAAAATGTAGTATTGCCATAAAAGGGAAAATAATTTTGATTACTGTAGTTGTGGTAGATGAGGACTGTGATGGGACATTTTCAAAAAGTGAAATAGAAAATGGGGAATAATATAGAGAAATACTTACTGCAAATACCTTTGTTTTCCCCTGGTTCATTTTGATATTACACATCTTGTAGTCACACAGCACAAATCCTGCAGTTGACTGAAATATTACAAGATGTGGGGAGAAGTGAAATAAAAATAATTTATATATTCAACTCCAATTTGATATATACCTTAGGAAAAGAAACGTGTTCTGTATAAACTATTTTCACTGCCAACATTTCTATTTTTAACATATTCTAACTGTATAGGCCAGGCTTTGCTGTTCCAAATATAAACATTTTAGCATCACATTTTTAGGGAAAATATAGTGGATCAGGTGGGATATATTTCCAGTGACATGTTCCATAATTTTATTTTGATGTATGTATTCATTTCAGGATTAGATGCTGTATCATTTACATAGAATAACTAATTATCAAAGCCACAAACCTGATACGTTTCTTAGATATAAGCCTCTCTATCCATAGAGAAAATTTTGATGCTTATGATCCTTCCTTAGAATAATCATTGTGAAATTACTTTATGTTTTGATATTTAACACTCCGTAAGTAATGTGTATTTCTTTTTTTTTTTTTTTCTTGCACCATTTTCTCCTCACAATCTCAGACTACTGAATAAAAATGAGACAAGAGGACTGCCTCGATTTCATTTTCTCTGTCCAACTATTTTCAAACCATTTTATTACCTACTTCTATTTAGTATTCTGGAAGCAATAAACTCATTATAAACATCAAATGTAAAACAAGAAAGCATGCTATACACATCACTTTCATGTTCAAACCATTTTACATCAACTAACTTCTTTTCTCTACATTAATGGGAGGTAGTTGGTAAGTATTAACCTCCCTTTATGGCCAAGGGAACTGAGGTAACCTTTAGATGTCAATGAAGAATCCATTCCAATGAAAGCTTTGCTTGGTATTGGGAGAAACTTGTTTCTACTTTGGTGCATATGGTTGATTAAATATACCATCCAACTTAATAGACATGTATAAAAATGTATAATTAATAAGGAGATGTCATTTCAAACATGCCAGCAACACAGTCTGGATTGTTAATCAGAATTTACTGCATTGTTCTTTTGGGGTAATTTTCCATCTTCATAGAAAGACCATGTATGCTGCAAGATCATTTATGTTAAGGATAATATACACTAATCTTTGAATTTGATATTCAAGAGAACAAGAAAGTTGAAAAACACCTGTTTTTGGTACTCTGTATGAAATTCTGTACTGTGTACCCTAAATGGTGTTAAGTATAATCTTTGTTTCATACAAACTTTAACAAACCCTACTAGGGAACCATTGACTTTCTTCTAGTAGAAATGAATATGACTTTTTAAAAAATTGACAAATGTGACTGTGTCAGCTTTGTGATTATTAACCAGTTGTTAATATTGTTATTACAACATGGGAACCATCTGATTGCCTGTCATACCACCAATTTCCCTCCCTACAACTGCAGTTAGGTATTTAGGTAGCTCTTTTTTAAATATGGAAATGAATTGATAAACTATTTCTTTCTTTTTCCTGGACAGTTGCTGACTCTGGGGTTTCTCTGTAGATTATTTTACTCTAAAAGTATGTGTAGATGACTCTCCTTTTGCAAAGGCAAAGCAGAAATTATTTCCTCATTAACCAAATAATCACATTGGCATCATCCACAGAATTACAATGTTCTCTGGGGCACGGTATTATTTCTGTTTTTCACCCCTACTTCCATTATAAATTCCTATTATACATGCATGCAGAATGAAAAGAGACCATGGGCCTATGTCAATATTTTCAGTTTCACCCAACACTAAAATAGTAACCACAGCCAGTAGTCATTTTTACACAGAAAAGACACACATACACAGTAAATTTGGGGGGAGCAGGTTGCTGCTTTTATAAGTTATACAGTATATTTGGATGCAGCTACTCAATATTAAAGCTCCTGAGTTGCAATGATAGCCTAATTATTTTGCCAGCCTTTTGAATATAAAGCCATTACAAATTGAATTATCTACCTATGTGACTATTCATTTACTCAGTAGTCACAGAGACTTCAGGCTGCAAACATGTGTTGAATGTGCCCCTTCACCCAAATGGATTCTGTGTCTGATGTGTTTGATATTTGTCCATCTTATTTTCATTTAAATTGAAATTTTAAAAAAGGTGTTCCCATCCATGTAATAGAGTTGTTTGTGTCTGTTTGTCACTACCTTTCCCCTTCCCCTCGGGGAAAAAAAATTGAGATTAGACTATGACATCTTAAACATTTTGGTGTGAACATTTAATGGAACCAATGTTTTGCTGAATGACAGATATGGTAATAGTGATCAAAAACAGAATCTCAATTTTGGCAGCTTGGGGCTACAAGGCCTTGTCCTTCCTCCTGATCCTTTGAAAACCCCTATCCCAGGGACTCTTTCCCACCCATCCTTCAAAGATCATGGTATCTTTGAAGTGACTGTTTCATAGAAGTGATTTTGGCTAACACCCACCAGAGGATAGCCTTCTGTATTGTCTCCAGGGCATACTAACATTGTTGATGCTTGGCAGGGTGGCAAGTGTACAGAGTGAACCTGGCCAGCAGAACCTCCTTATTCAGCAGCCACTGGGGAGGAAGAGGGGACTGAGGCAGGTAAGCAGACTCTGAAAGAATTGGAGAGTCACCCTGTTAAATGAAAGCTGGATTCAGTTTTTAATGCCCACCTGTATTAAGACTATATTTAGTCTTCTCCTTACCTGAAATGAGCAACAGAGTAATTTTAAAATATGGTAAGTGCTTGGGCAAGAATTTTGAGCTTCTATTTTACATCTGAATCTTATTAGCAAAGTTGGTCACTTAGTAAATTAAGTGGGCCTAAAATTCTACTTGCTCCTTATCTGGAAACTTTCTTTCTCAGCCAGAGGAGTTGACAGAGGATGATTTTTTTTATGGCATTGGCTTATTATATTTGATTTAAGACTTGTTTGTTCATAGAGGCAAAGACAAAGAAACCCTGTTTTCTTCATTTCAAGATTAGTGATTTAATTTAGAAGTGAAATTGAGGTAAAGATCATATTTACAAATTTTCTTAGGTGAGGTTCTTTTACATACTTCCTAAATAAAAATCTAAATGACATTTTGCACTGTTGCTGCAATGGGAGCCTCCCAGTTGCTTTGAGTACCTAATGCTGTGGCAACATCTGAGGGTTTTTAAACTCCTCCTTTGAAAGTTAGCACATGTTCAACAACAACTTTTAGATAAGCAAAGCTTGATATGTAAGCAAGAGTTACTTGTCCTGTATCTTGGATTCAAACTCTTGGATTCAAACCCAAGAATTATTTATCTTGCATCTTTATCTTGATTAAAATCACTGAATTTTTCAAATTTATATTTTTAAGTTACGTTAGTTAATGTTCTTAAGATACAAGAAGGAGCAATAATGATTATGAGAAGAACTGCTTGAAGGAGATGCTAGAAAACAGTATTTATAGTTGGAAAATCACAAAGAAAATTTATCAACTATTAATAAAAGGAACAGCCATAAAAGCCCACGGAAACATATAAATAAAGGAACAAACTACAGACAGAACCGTACTCAGTTCTATTTGGCAGATAGTTCTTGCCAGTTTTATTTTGCCTATTCTCTTTAGCTAAGACGTCCTCTGCTATCACGTCAGAAGACTCAGACTGAACCCAAAAACCGCCATGGGGCTCGGCTGTCAACCACTCGTAGAAGCATTCAACCCAAAACAAAGCCATCAGGTGAGGCCTCCTGTGTCCTATCTGACTGCAGCACTGACAGGACGCCATGTAGCTCAGCCAGGAAGTCCTGCAGAACCTGTGTGGATGCAGATATGCACATCTTTGGAGAGGCACTAGGATAAGGGAAGAAATTTTCTTCCCCCCATATTTAGTGCCTTTATTCTACTCAACTTTCCCAATCCCTGTCTCTACTCCCCATGAGCCTATGGAAATGGAAGTTCCCAAAGTAAACCACTAATGCAATGAAATTTGACTATAGAGGTTATTTTCTTTACTTAAGCTGGGAATTGGGATTGTCTTATGATGAACTACAAGACATTTTAAGTCCTATTATTGTGAGGGATGATGAGGTTCACCTAATGTTCTATGCAAATTTTGTTTTGGGCTATTTATATAAAAATGATTTTTTAACCCAAGTTCTACTCTTTGTAAGATGAAATCAAGACATGTACAAAACAGTCATATATGATCTCATTATTCATAAACAGCAATGCCTTTATTAAGAAAACTCAAGAAACCCTTGTTGAAGCCAATTATTTCACACTGACAGTCTTCTTCTCCTTTTTACTACTTCTCTAAATTACAGCAGATCAGAAGCGATCTGTGACCTTCATTGAAACTCAGCCCGAATCAGCAGCTACCCCAACAGACACACTTTCTGCCACAGGTCAACTACAGGGTTGTAGCCCAGTCCCAGTGAGAAAACCAGAAGGCATGGATGAACCAGTCCTTACTTCTTCCCCTGCCATAGTTGTTGCAGATCTCCACGGCCTATCTTCCAAGCAGGTGGGACACTAAAGAAACAGGCAAGGCTTGCTCCCTGTACACTTATTTCTATGAATTGCTTGGATATGCAAACTGATTGTATATAATTAATATAGGTCTACAGTGCATTGTTATCCAAATATATACTGGTCTTACCATCATGAGAAAGAAAACCGATATGAAACATTTGCCTAGGAATATATCTGCTTAAGAAAAACCAAGAGAAGTCATGACATTCTTAGTTGTGAAAAACCTACCAAAAAACAATTTGCCTCAAAAATAACCATTTGGTTTGGCAGTCAAGGGATGGCTTGGGATGCCCACATCCCGTATTGGAGTACCTGGGTTTGAATCCAAGCTCCACTCCTGATTCCAGTTTCCCTGGAAGGCAGCAAATGATGGCTCAAGGATGGTTCTCTCTGCCACACACGTGAGAGATCCAGACTGAGTTTCTAGCTCCTGGATTCGGCCCTAGCATAGCCCTAGCAGTTGAGGGCATTTGGGGAGTGAATAAGTGGATGATAGATCTCTCTGTCAGTCTATCAGTCTCTCATCTCTTTCTGCCTATAAAATAAATAAATAAAAAATGTTTTAACTTAGCCACTGAAAACACAAGTATAATATATAGTTTGAAAGATGGTTCAATTGAAAAAAAATGAAGCTACCAATTTAGATAAAGCCTTTAGATAAGAGTCTTCTGTGCTCTTAAGATGACAGAGGCTTTTTCTTTTGATATTTTCCCCTCTTTGCTTTCATATTTTTTGGTCTTTTTTCCCTTCTTTTGGTTTTTATAAATAACTGCCTATAGGTGTTACCTTCTTCTTTTTAAACTTTTATTTAGTAAATATACATTTCCAAAGTACAGTTTATGGATTATATTGGGTTCCCCCCCGATAACTTCCATCCCACCTGCACCCCTCCCATCTCCTGCTCCCTCTCCCATTCCATTCACATCAAGATTTTCAATTCTCTTTATATACAGAAGATTGATTTAGTGTATATTAAGTAAAGATTTCATCAGTTTGTACCCACAAGAAAATAAAGTATAAAATACTGTTTCAGTACTAGTTATAGCATTAATTCACATTGGACAACACATTAAGGACAGAGATCCTACACGAGGAGTAAGTATACATGACTCCTGTTGTTGACTTAACAATTTGACATTCTTGTTTATGGCATCAGTAATCTCCCTAGGCTCTAGTCATGAGTTGCCAAGGCTATGGAAGCCTTTTGAGTTCGCCGACTTCGATCTTATTTAGACAAGGTCATAGTCAAAGTGGAGGTTCACTCCTCCCTTCAGAGAAAGGTACCTCCTTCTTTGATGGCCCGATCTTTCCACTGGGATCTCACTCATTTAGGTGTTTTTTTTTCTTTTTTCTTTTCTTTCTTTTTTTTTTTTTTTTGCCAGAGAGTCTTGGCTTTCCATGCCTAAAATACTCTCATGGGCTCTTCAGCCAGATCCGAATGCCTTAAGGGCTGATTCTGAGGCCAGAGTGCTGTTTAGGACATCTGCCATTCTATGAGACTGCTGTGTATCCTGCTTCCCATGTTGGATCATTCTCTCCCTTTTTTATTCTATCAGTTAGTATTAGCAGACACTAGTCTTGTTTGTGTGATCCCTTTGACTCTTAGACCTATCAGTATGATCAATTGTGACCTGAAATTGATCACTTGGACTAGTGAGGTGGCATTGGTACATGCAACCTTGATGGGATTGTATTGGAATCCACTGGCACATTTCTAAGTCCACCATTTGGGGCGAGTCCGATTGAGCATGTCCCAAATTGTACATCTCCTCCCTCTCTTATTCCCACTCTTATATTTAACAGAGATCACTTTTCAGTTAAATTTCAACACCTAAGAATAATTGTGTGTTAATTACAGAGTTCAACCAATAGTATTAACTAGAACAAAAAAAATACCAAAAGGGATAAAGTATTAAATTGTACATCAACAGTCAGGACAAGAGCTGATCAAGTCACTGTTTCTCATAGTGTCCCTTTCACTTCAACAGGTTTCCTTTTTTGTGCTTGGTTAGTTGTCACTGATCAGGGAGAACATATGATATTTGTCCCTTTGGGACTGGCTTAAATCAACACTAACCCACTGTTGGTGGGGATGCAAACTGGTAAAACCACTATGGAAGTCAGTCTGAAGATTCCTCAGAAACCTGAATATCACCCTACCATACAACCCAGCCATCCCACTCCTTGGAATTTACCCAAAGGAAATTAAATTGGCAAACAAAATAGCTGTCTGCACCTTAACGTTTATTGCAGCTCAATTCACAATAGCTAAGACCTGGAATCAACCCAAATGCCCATCAACAGTAGACTGGATAAAGAAATTATGGGACATGTACTCTATAGAATACTATACAGCAGTAAAAAATAATGAAATCCAGTCATTTGCAACAAAATGGAGGAATCTGGAAAACATCATGCTGAGTGAATTAAGGTGTTATCTTCTTCTACTGTAGTATTTAAAAACCACTATGGGACAATATAATAATACACATCTGTATAGTATTCAATGATTACAAATCATTGCAATGCCATTTTTATCCTATTGATTCTCACAGTCTACCAAGTAAATAGAACAAAAAGTTATGTTCATGCTACAGGTTAGCTTATGGAAAGTTGGAAGGCCTATATAACATCTTACTCATAACAATTGCTGGAACTGGGAAGAGCCTTCTGATACTTTGTCAATTTGTAGCTGGAAAACATTTTTTTTTTATTCTTCACTGGTATTCATCCTGCCTTTCCATGATGGCATTATCCTTTTGATCACAGAGTGAGACCCTCCCTGTGGAAGAAGGAGAAAAGAAGGAAGACCTAGAAGCCCAAAGTGCTGCAGCACACAGCCCCCTCTCCACTCAACTCTCAGACCCTGATGACTTCCCAGGCCTTGAGACATCCAGCCTCCTCCAACACGGAGACACTGTCCTTCACATCAGCGAGGAAAATGGCATGGAGAACCCCCTGCTATCCAGCCAGTTCACTTTTGTTCCTACTGAGCTGGGGGAGGCAGATGTAGTCCTAGATGAGTCACATGTTTGATTCTGTATCTTGTAAGCATGGTACATGTAGAGATGATATGGAAGGGATTACTGCTGATTACTGTTTGAATAAGATGAATTACAAAACAGCACTTTACATTCAATGGGTGGCACACATCTGAGAAGATTTTGCTGCCAATATGCATAATGTTTTATAAGCATCTTAAAAATCAGTGGCTAAAAGGATTTAGTTGTGTGAAGACCATAAAAACCCCAGGAAGGGATAAGGGGAAAGAGCCATTTCACTGCACATTATTTATGATGCAAGAAGAAGCCTTGAGCAGTTAAAAATATATACTAATACAGTGCTGCTTGCATAGAAATATTGCAAATAATACATTCCAATATGAGAATGCAACTTTTTGAGGTTACTCACATTATACATCATGCAAAAGTTTATTTTTATAGTTTCAAAAATATAAAATCAAGTGGCTGTACAACTATCTTACATAAAATACTAAGGAAATTATTAGTTTCTGGAGACTAAAAACAAATAAACCTGCAGCCATTTTTGTTTTGATTAACAATACAGCCATTTAGAAGAAGAAAAAAATACTATTTTTTGAGCTGTGGACATTAAAATATTTATTTTTCAACTGTCATTTTCATTGCATATTGTAAATCAAAATGTTAATTCTGTAAGAGCATTCCATTTCATAATTAATCATATTAGATACAGAATATTCTAGAAATTATCATTCTGAATTAAGAAGAATCTAACTAGCCTATACAACTATAAAAACTAAATGTAAATATAATAGCTTGACAGAGATGCTATTCCTACTTGTAGCCCTGACTACATCAATGCCAAGATCAGGATTTATTGGGAAATAAGATTATTTTCCCTTACAATATACTGTGCCTGCCCTTGAGGGCATATTTTCAAATATTAAAGTTAGTGTTGTTACAATTTGTTCAATAAAATAACTTTTTCTCAATAGTGACAATATTCTTATGAATCCAGAGGACACTTATGTTTATTAGGAAAAAAGCTCTAAAGCAAGGAATTTCTTCATAGACACTGCCAGCTTGTATATTTTACAATAGAACTTTAATGTAAGGTTCAGTTTCTTTAAGAAAAGTATAAAATTTAGAAGGCTTGTGAAGCCAATACCTACTGTGTTATTGATCTTAAAGTAGGGTTGGACATTCTATAGTTTAAAATGGAATTTCAAAATTTTAACAGCTTATATTAGAAAACTGTTACATAACTACAAAGCATATAAACAACTCATATACATACCTAAATTGGTATGGTGTGTGTTTGTGTGTGTGTGTGTGTGTGTGTTCTAGTCTTCAAGTTGAAGTTAAATATAGACTTTGATTACATTGAGATGAGTTTAAAACATTCTATATGCTTAAACTTCAACTATATTGGCTGTGAAATGTTTATGTATATAAAGGGAAGTCGTACTAAACCTACCCTAATCATAAAGGAAATTATTTTTCTGTTACAATTGCTTATAGGAATTATAGGAATTGTTCATATTGTGATTTATAATTTCAAGAGTAACTTGGGGTTATGGTCCCATTGACTAAAAGAATGAAAGATATCCATGTATTAAAGATAAAAGAACAAAACTAAAAATTTCTCTTTGATGCTATATAATATTTTCGCATCATTACACTTAATGCTGAATTAATTCCCAAGTGAAGAAGTATGTATGTAAGTGGTTTGATTCTAAACTGTTATATTTTGCCTGTTACAAATTATGCTGCTCAATTAGTGTTAGAGGCCTTATGTTTGGTAATTATGTCTAAGTCTTGTGAGTCTCTTTGTGCTTTGTTCCAGTTTCTTGATTCAGATTCTCTATGTATAATTGTATCAAATATTTAAAAAGTAAGTGGGTCAAAGAAGATTGTTACATCCTAAATACCTTTATATATATTATATATATATTTAAAAATATTGGGCTGCTTTCAACAGGATTGTGCTGTTCTGTCTGCCTTTTAGCCTGACTCCTTCACTCTAGTGTTTGGAAGTCTGTTAGAAACTTTTAAAATAAGCTAATGCTGTTTTTTGCAAAAAAGCCTCCACTCTGAAAAACAGGGCCTTACAGAAGGGGGAATGTTTTCATACTGGGACTACTGAGATTTTGCAGATGTGTGCATCTGTTCCATTTAAGGTGCCCTTAAATGTGTTGAATGTAATGTGTTGAATGTTTATGTGTAATGGCTAAAGTATATATATGTATGTGCATAAGACTGTCACAAGATGTATTCTCAGGAATACTGTTACCTGGAATTTGACAGAATAGCTAGTTAAAAAACAACAACAGTTGGGGAAGATTAGAAAAAAGTTCAAGATAATTGAAAATTTTTTATAATGTTCAAAATATTGAGTACATGACTAAATTTAATTAACACATTAACAAATATAATATTGGTAATAATAGATCATTTCTTAAGCTATGATTATTGACATTTATCTTATTCATGGGAAAAGTAAAACAGGCACCCACTTCCCATATATTAAAAATTGAGATCAAAAAGAGGTTGTGAAGTAGGCAGGCATGGGGGTCATGTCCAATTTCAGTTGCTTCTTCTGAAATTAACTTTTGAGAGAACTTGGAATAAATATATATCAACCATGATAGTGGGTGCCAATTTACACTACTCGGGATCAATTAAACCAGTTAAAATCCTGGATACAGAATTTTCTATAGCAAACATTTTACTTTCATTTTTCAGTATTTGCTGCTTTCTATAATTCTATTAGATATGTTATTAAATTTTTTTGCAAAACAAAATGAGTTATTCAGGGCATTGGGACAAGGCCCTGAGAAGTACTCTGGCAAAAGGCATTAATGGGTGTGGTAGTGCTAGGAGAAAAACCGTGGTATTGGTAGTCTGATTAGGGCCTGTTGCACAGGTTGGGAGCTTCTGGTTTGTTATTTCAATCCTCCAAGAGTACCTTAGATAGAATGACAGCCCTTCTCTTTAGGAACTGTCCCTTAGTCAGTGAAGAACTTTCTCCACTCCAATGACCAGCTCTGAACGTATCTGAGAATAGGGTATGTACAGGGACCTATAGAGAAGAAAGGGTCATAAATGAATAGAACTATAATTCAGAATATGAGTTAAATTTCCTTCCTCAAGTTATACAGGATACTTTATAATAGAGCACAGTCTCCAGAATTTGCTGCTATCACACTGAGTCATGTTGTTGCCCTGTGACCTCACACTTCCAATTCCATGGCCTTGTCTTGGCAGTGAGAAAATGTCCCCACTTCCTCATTTATTTTAGTGGGTCTCACTTGCAACATTTCAGAAACAAACTTTGATTTGACACTCAGGAGAACAAAAACAAGTTGAGGGCATAATGTGTTTGGAAAAGCATAAGACAAATTTACTTCTATCATTTTAAGATCATTTTGGATCATTTTGAATTACAGATCAATGTACCTCCATAATATTTTTTAATAGTCACTGTGACCACAGGATGAAAATCCTTTATTAGCCATTTACTAGCCATTTTATAGGTTAAAAACAAAAATTGACTACACAGCCAACTTCCCTCGGAAGACTATGAAGTGTTTTGAATACTGAATGACCAAAGAGCATGGAAAAATACATAGGATTAAATATTGAAATGTTTATGAAAGATATTTATGAAAGATGTTAAGATTTCTGTGTTTGAAAATGCAAATATAATAAAATGTCTAAAGAAATTTAAGAGGTCTGAGTTTCATTTATCATAGTAGGGAATAGGTTACCTGCTTCAGAAAGATACTCATTTTGGATGCCTGGAGTTGTTACAGTCGAATTAGAGTTGAATTGCTCTTGCCACCCCAAAAATGCTCCAAGAGACCTTCTCTCATGTAATTAACAAAGGGTAAAGTTTATTGATGTTCCGACATGTCGGGGCCCCCGTCCCAGTACAGGCGAGCTGCCTCGAATAGTCTTGGGTTGGGGTTTTTATACACGTTTAAACAAAGAAAATCAATCATTGGGTAGAGCAGACAGTGGTATAGAGTAAACAATTGATACAAGTTAAGTGATTTTACAATCAGTTGATTTATGAATACAGGGAGTATAGGATACCGAGTAAGGGCCTGATTAGACCTCAAAGAACCATATGGCCTATACAGGGAGTATCAAAAAGCCTCCTATTGCCAAAAGGGAGGGCCACACAAGATTGCAGGAACTGCCTTGATGATACCAGGAATGCAGCTGAATGGCGATAAGGGACACACGGTGGGGTCAGAGTTCCAGGAGGCAAAGAGATATACGGTGACTTCTTCTATCTTACTTAGGTGAAACTAAGGTTACGCTCACATTGGGGTAATTTACTGACTAATTAACTTTACAGAGAATGGCTATGCAGAGCAAGTCTAACGAGGTCAGGAAAGTTCACCAGAGGAGGTTGGGGGGAAGCGGCTTCTAACTTTTTAACCCTTCAGAGTATGCCTTTGTTAATGTCTTTTCTCTCTTTCAAAGCCAACAGTTTGGCCTGGGGGCATTATGCAACTAGACATCTCTGATTCCCCTCTTCTACCTACTGTGCTCCACTCTCCTCATACTTCCCTTCCTTATCTTTCAAAATAATGCAGAATGGGTTTAGTGAGAGACAGATACCCCAATCTGATCTCTCCCTCCAGGTTACGACCTGCTAGAATAACCCGTAGATTTCTTAGTGGAAATGTTGGAAGACTGGCTGTTTTTCAAATGTGGCCAGAAACACCATGAGGTCCAAGTTAGTGCCAGTTCTGTCTTTTTACAGAATACCAAGTGTCCTTACCCGCTAAGGACTGCTCTTCCTAAATCTATCTCTTTTCCTGATCCAATGCCCTAGACATGTTGGCAGCACTACACTCTTACTCATTTCTGGATTGTGTCTGTTAGGAAACTGGTGCAGTTTTATCTATGGCGTGATCTATACCCTGATTTACACCCCAAGCTCTAGCCTCTGCCGCCATTGCTGGAAGCCAGGTGGCCACATGGCCCAACCTCTGTTGTCAAGCTCCACCCCCATCCTAATGGGATTCGCTGCTCCTGCTTCCCGGCCTGCCCTCCGGCAAAGTTTTAAAAGGGCCTGCTCCTGAACATGTGCTCTCTTGGCTCCTCTCTCGGCATGTCTCTCTGCTCTATCTTCTCTCCTCACTATCTCCTCTCCTCTGTCTCTCTCTCTCTCTTATACTCTTTCTTTCCCTTCACCACCCCTTCACTCCAGTCTGTTGGGTGTTCCCCAATAGACCCTTTCCCTTATTCGGGCAATTCGGTGTGTTTTGTGATGGCTAACAGTGTCTCAATAGTAAATCTTACCACAATTTGTCAGTGAGCATTGCTAAAATAGAAAAGCAATCAAGAAGAGTGACAAGGGGCGGGCGTTGTGGCTCAGTGGGTTAAGCCTGCTTAGGAAGCAGATTCTAGTCCCCGCTACTCCATTTTGGTTACAGCTTCGGGTGGGAGGCAGCAGGTGAGGACCCAAGTTCTTGGATTCCTGCAACCCATATGGGCAACCAGGATGGAGTTCCTGGCTGTAGCCTGGTGCGGTCCCAGATGCAACAGGCAGTCGGGGAGTGAACCATTAGATGGGCGATCTCTGTCTCTCCCTCTCATTCTGCCTTGCAAGCAAATAAAAGCTTTTTAAAAAAGAAGAGGGACCAGAAGCAGAATAGGAGGGCAATAAAAATAATCACCGCCATTTTGTACCAAGCACCAGGTCTAACGCTGGAGGCATTATCTGGATTTGCTACTTTAATTCTCACAACAATCCTAAACGCTGGACACTGCCTTTACAAATGAGAAAACTGAGGCACGGAGAAGTGACTTGCCTGGGTAGTAAGCCTGTATTTGGCAGAGCCAGGATTCCTCCAGCTTTGTTCTATGAGAGGAAAATAAAAGGAAGAGAAAATTTTTGTTCTTTAAAGCTGGAAAGAACCAAACAAGCAAATAACGGGGAAGCAAAAAGAGAGGCGACAACCACAGCCCAGGAGAGGGACCTTTAGGGGATATGAGGAGAAAGAAGCCCTCCACACAGTTTGGTTAGGGCAAGGGCTGGAATACCTGGAAAAAAATCTAAGAGTGAAAGGTTAGAGGAAGAGCGTAGCACGGCGTCTCCTCAGCCAGGTCCGCCCCCAAGCTGTCAGGCCCGCGGTTCCTCTTTCGAGGTGGGGGCGGGACTTCCTCACTGCAGGGCATTTGCTTCCGGCAGAGTCCGGAAGACTGTACAGGGGGGAAAGGGCGGGGCTAAAACCGCCCGCCAATCGGGGCGACGCCTTCGTCTTGCCGGGCGACTCGTGGGGTAACTTGCACTTGGGATTCAGCACCATGGCGTCGGGCTGCAAGATTGGCCCGTCCATCCTCAACAGTGACCTGGCCAACTTAGGGGCCGAGTGCCTCCGGATGCTAGACTCTGGGGCCGATTACCTGCACCTGGATGTAATGGACGGGTAACTCCTGGGGGCTCGGGTCGGGCTGGCCGCGCGGGGGCGGGATCGGCGCACCTATCTATATTGAGTGCCTGTTGGATGCACGGCGTCCCCGCACCACAGAGAGCCTCACTGTGAACGCGGTGCTAAGGAGGGAACTGGGGTAGGGGTTCTGCAGGCCCTGGCTGGAGCGGACCTGACCCAGCCTCGTGGGCTGCGGCGGCGAACCAGACCTCAACTCCTCCCCTCCGCCGACGTAACGTGTGGTCTTCTAGCATTTAGGACCCGGAAGCGACCTTTAAGTCTCCAGAACATTTCGTTTTCAGTTAGAGAAACTGAGGCCCAAGGGGATAGGCATGACTTGCCCAAGCCCACACGAGTATGGCGAGTTAGTGGCAAGGCTGAGGAGTCAGACTTGAGTAACGACTAAGAGGTTGGCGCTACGCTGCAACTTGCCAAGTTCCGCCACTTGCTGGATTGCCTTGGACAAGCCGCTTAACCAACTCTTCGAGCTTCCGTTTCGTTATTTGAAAAATGGTTATTTACTAATGGAACCTCCCGCTTGTCATCTTTGGATGATGAAATGAGCGACTACACGTTTACAGTGCCTGGCATTTAATCAATTCTCTGTAATTGTTAGTTGTTTTATTATTATTTAAATTCTGATTTTTCCTGTCTATTTTCTCTTCAGGCACCCTGCTCTTCAGGGAGGTCAGTTTTTTTGTAAGTAATTTTTAAGCACTGTAGTTCATAGCACATAATATTGTTTGGAATCAGGGTAGTAGTTTCTTAAGTTGGTTATAAAGTGAGGAAACAAAACTAGTGAAAACAGACTCCATCAAAATTATCCAAAGTCGTGACAGACTTTGCAGCTTGGATCTGCCACGTAGTTCTCTAAGCACCATTGGTAACTGGCTGTGAAATTACAAACGCCATTACCTTGGGTTGGGATAGAAAAATAATTTTATTTCAAATAGCGGAAACTTTCTTGTTCCCTCATTCAGATTTGCAAATTAGTGTTATAAAGGATGACCAGTTCGATTTCTTTTTAATGTCACTGTTACTTCTCTACAAATAGAGTTAGATTTTCCTTTATTTTATGAGGTTTAATATATTGTTTCTCCTTTGCATTCTACCCAGTTAGCTTATGAATCTGTTCAACTGTTAGGGGCAAAACCTTGAAATTGGACTAGTATAAATTATAAGCTAAATGTGTAAGGTTAGTTAATATTATCCCTCACAAAAGCATGATTTTAATTTGCTGTCCACTTATGCATCTCTCTCTCTTTTTTTTTTTTTGACAGGCAGAGTGGACAGTGAGAGAGAGAGACAGAGAGAAAGGTCTTCCTATTTGCCGTTGGTTCACCCTCCAATGGCCGCCGCGGCCGGCGCATCGCGCTGATCCGAAGGCAGGAGCCAGGTGTTCTTCCTGGTCTCCCATGCGGGTGCAGGGCCCAAGGACTTGGGCCATCCTCCACTGCACTCCCTGGCCACAGCAGAGAGCTGGCCTGGAAGAGGGGCAACTGGGACAGAATCCGGCGCCCCGACCGGGACTAGAACCCGGTGTGCCGGTGCCGCAATGCGGAGGATTAGCCTATTGAGCCACGGCGCCAGCTGCTGTCCACTTATGTACTTTATTTTGCACACTTGTGCTTAAAAATCCTAAATTGTCAAAATAATATGCTGAATAGAATGGATATATCAGACACTGGTAACTATTTTTATGCTTGATAGAATAACTTGTGGTCTCAGGATAGAACTGGCTACAGGTGTATGTGGAAGTCCCTCTCATAAAGATAGCAGTTTGATTTTAAGTAAGTCATGTATGAGTAGGTGAATACATGGAGAAAATACTTGTTCAGTTCACCAGTCAGGAATATTAATGCTAACAATAGTAGCAGTATTTATGATTGACTGTTTTGTTTTAGTGCTTTTTCTGAGTTAACTTGCACAGTCTTATAAGGGTGATGCTTTTATTACTACCAGCATTTGATCATGAGGAATCAGGCAGAGAGGTTAAGTCCTCATGATAAGGAAATGCTGGAGCCAGGTCTTCTACTGCTTTCCCAGGCAATAGCATAGAGCTGGATCAGAAGTGGAGGAGCTGCGACTTGAACTAGCACCCATGTGGGATGCTGGCACTGCAGGCAGCAGCTTTACCTGCTTCACCGCAGCGCTGGCCCCCAAAAGTATTTATTTTTATTGACTCTTTCCCTTTTTCTGGAAACACTTCAGAAAAAACTAAATCAGCCTATAGTTTTTTTTGAAAGAAAAAAAAAAAAACTTTACCTTTTAATCTTCACAACTTTTTAAGGTAAAAGCTGGCTTTATTCCCCTTTTTTTGCAAAGGAGGAAACTGGTATAGGGAAGTCCAGTCCTTTTCCTAATGTTCTAGCAGAGGAGGCAAAGCCTGGGTGATCTGTTGCCAGTGCACCTGAGGGTATCTTGAGAAATCCCCTCCGCCAGGGGAAGGAGGGCCCTGGACTCCCTTTCCAAAGGTGGCCAGTCACAATGACTGGTACTGCCTCTCTTTTTCCTGAGCTCTTTTATAAATCTCATCCAACATGACATTTAAGCATGTTTACTGTTTTCTGGTTTCCTTCCCTGCCCAAGCTCCCAATCTCTCCTGATTAAAACTGAATTTTTTCGTTTATCAGAAACTAGATTCAGGAACATGAAGGTGCGGCACTAGTATGGTTGAATATGGAATAAAGGACAAGTTGATTCTTCTGGAGAGAGGCAGTGCCTAGGATGTGTTGCTTATGAGCCTGGATCAGAACTATTAATTTCTAAACTCATCACTGGAATTTAAGACTGGAGAGATTTTGCCTTATACTAGATATCTCACTTGGAAAAAAAATTTCAAGGATTTGCTGTCCTGGGCCCACAGTTTCATAGAACCACAACGGACTGGGGCTGAATCGGGCAGCCACCTTTGGCCAGTGAGGTGTTATCTGCCAGCTCCCAATGGCTTGTGAATTTGTGATTCCTGATTCACAGGAAGGTGTTTTCTGCTTACAGTCTTGGTGCATTTTATACCAACCTTAATTCTCTTGACATCTTTCCTTGTTCCATCTGTCTGAAATAGATTGCATTATGATTATAAGTAAAGCTGAGTGATAATGATGGAACATTATGAGATAAAATAATTTTATACCTGTATTGCAAGAACTTAGGCTAGTAAAGTGGGATACATTTTTGTTGCATTTTACTTTTTTTTTTTTTTTTTTTTTTTTTGACAGGCAGAGTGGACAGTGAGAGAGAGAGACAGAGAGAAAGGTCTTCCTTTACCGTTCCCCCCCAATGACCACTGTGGCCGGCGCACTGTGCTGATCTGAAGCCAGAAGCCAGGTGCTTCTCCTGGTCTCCCATGTGGGTGCAGGGCCCAAGCACTTGGGCCATCCTCCACTGCCTTCCCAGGCCACAGCAGAGAGCTGGACCAGAAGAGGGGCGACCGGGACTAGAACCCGGTGTGCTGGCGCCGCGGGTGGAGGATTAGCCTATTGAGCCGCGGCGCCAGCCGCATTTTACTTCTTGCATGCTTTTCTCTAAAAGTACTTTCAAGGAAAAAAAAGACCAAGGATAATGATGAAGCAGACATTTTAATGAAATTTCTCTTCTTTAAAGTGTTTTCCTTGAGGCCTTTGTTAAAAATTCAGGCCCTCAGGTTCTCTGGAGTCAGTGAGCTCTAAGTGGAATCTGTAAATCCACTTGTAGCAAGTGTTCCCATGGTTACTGTTGTCAGGCACATTTGGAATACCCTGGCTTCATGTTTGGGTGAGTAGTCTTTTTGTTATGGCTTAACCATAAGCTTTTGGTTTCTTATGAGAATATTGATGTTCTTTTGATCTTCAGTAGAACAAATTAGACACGTAATTTGGGAGTCAGTGGTTTTATACATTATATTTATGTTCCTCAATAAAGTAAAAGTGTATTTGTTTGAGTTTCCCATTTTCTTAGGATGTGATTATATTTATTTTGATTATACATGAAAGCTGAGGTAGAGACTACAAGACTACTTCCAGAATCACATAGTAGATTAAAGAAAAGCATATGAAATCTGAGTGTTTTAACAAGAGTTGTAAAATATTCGGTAGGCCTATTTATTTATTTATTTTTAGATTATTTATTTGAAAGTCAGTTACAGGGAGAGGAGGGGAGACAGAGAGGTCTTCCCTCCAGAAGCTTTCTCCTGATTTCCCTTGTAGGTGTCAGGGACCCATCTGCTGCTGCTTTCTCAGGCCGTTAGCAGGAAGCTGGATCAGAAGTGGATCAGCTGGACACCAACCAGGCCTTGCAGGCAGCTGCTTTACCAGCTATGCCATTATGCCCACCCTGGGTAGGCTTACCTTATGTGCTTATCTGGCCCTTAATCTGAAGTTTTAAGTAAACAAGCTTCTTTTATCCATTGTTTTGACAGTGATTGTTCTAGGCAGATCATAGAATACTTTGGAATTATTAGGAAGTCCACCCTTAAGTGAACGACATGTTAGTGAGTAAAAGTATATCCATCCATCTTCCCTGTCCCTTTGGATACCTCCTGAATCTTGCCCTGTTGTTAGTTGTCGTTGTAGGGGCACATGGGCAGAGTAGTTGGGAACCTGGACTTGGCAGCCTTATTACCTGAGGTTAACTCCTGCCTCCAGCGCTTACTAGTTGTGTCACTCTGGGTCTCTTTCTCATTTGTAAAATAAAGTACTTACCTCATAGAGGTGCTGTGAGGTTTTAATATATGGAAAGTATTTAGAACTGTGCCTTCCATATGTGTTTGTCTGTGTGTGTACTGATTCTGCTGGTCAGCTAAACCCAAGACTTTAACCATGGTTTATTTTCTCTTTTATCTAGCACCACCCCATCTAATCAGTTAACAAATTATATCCGTTCTGCTTATCCTTGTCATTCAAATGATTCTTTGCCACTTACAGTGAACACTTTTTACTTCTTGCAGTTTATTGCCCAGCCATCTTTGTACATTGTATTTGTATCTTACTATTTGCAGCTTGCTTTCAAACCTTCATATTTATAATAGGGTAAAGTCAAAATGGCTGAGCTTGATATTGGACACCCTTAATGTGGCACACCTCATGTCCTGCCTTTTTCACACTAGCCAAGCTGGTCGGCAGCATTCCCTCCTTCTTTGGGCTTGCTTAGTTTCTTTTCCTGTCTTCCCAAATCCTGTTGTTTTTAAGTCTTGTGCTCTTTTCTTAAATGCTCGGTGATACTTGCTCTTTTTTTTTTACCTGTTTTATCTGGAGTCTCCTATTGCCTGCTTGTTACTGTTTTCAAAGCCCAGATTTCAGTACTTTCACAACGTTTACTTCCCTTTCATGATGTAGCAGTGCAGCGTGAGTGTGGTTCCATGCAGCAATTCAGGGGCACATCCTCTGTCATTCCTCTTGGGCTTTATTACAAAAGAGTAAAGTGAGAGTGGAAAAGATGAGTTTTTGAGTGCCTCTTGTCCAAAATACATGGGACCAGAAGTATAGAATTATTTCAGTGTTGCAATATTTGCATATGTATGTTGAGATAGTGTCCCTGCATTTTGACCGTGAGCTGTCACATGATGTCAGACGTGGAATTTTTCACTTGGAGCATTATCAGAAGTTTCAGATTTTGGATCATTTTGGGTTTCAGATGTTCAGATTTAGAGATGCTCAACCTGTGCTACTTAACCTCTGGATTCTGCAATGACTTATGTCATTTAAACTCATAGTTCAACGGTGAGAACTCATCACATGAGCTTTCAGGATGTGAAGGGAGCTGAATTGGTTTCCCACAAATGACTGTAGCAAGCAGGATCCTGTGTGTTGTCTCTGCCATCTCTTGCCAGTGAGATAGTGAATTCTCCCTGGGTAAAGAACTAGCATATATCTGTATAAAATGCAAAATTCTGAAGCAGCCAGCATGGTGTTTGCATATGGGAGGTTTTGTTAAGTGAACTAATGATACAGCAAAGGATTAACAGGATAGGTTAAAGGTTAAGTGCTTTGGACCTGATATCAGGCAGATTTAATTTTAATCCTGGTTCCCTCCACAGATTAACTGAATGATTTAAGGATGTTATTTATCGTTTGCTCTTTAAATGGGAATGTTATTAATAAACATCAGGTTTTTTTACTGATCTTTAAGAAAGTTTAAATAGAAACTATTATTTGTATTCTCTGATAGAAAAGATTAAAAGTAGCCACAGGCTTCCTGTGACAATAAAGTTCTTGAAACCTAAACCAGAATCCAGAACTTATACATAGTGTGTGACTTGGGCAAGGCATAAAGCTTTGGGATTTTTGATTTTTTCATCTTTCCATTTCTGTCTGCCATGGGTTAAAAATTACACAGTAAGTATTATAAATATAGGTATGACATTATGGTTTCTTGAAATATTAAGGAGGTTCTGCTTTGTAAAACCAGTGTTATTCAGATATTTTTAGTGTTTTTTAATACTGATGGTGTTAACTATTAAATTGAAAAATATTGCAATCCTAGACAGTTTCCTCTACTACCCCGTCAGAATTCATGTGGAGAGAAGTACCGAAACTAAAGTGGAAACATTTTCAGAGTAAGATTTTGTTTGTCTTGTAGGCATTTTGTTCCCAACATCACCTTTGGTCACCCTGTGGTAGAAAGCCTCCGAAAGCAGCTAGGCCAGGACCCTTTCTTTGGTAAGTGAGAGTGTTATGCCTTCTGAAGTTTGATGTGTTGCTGAAGTGAAGGAAAAGTAGATGATGGTTGAATTCTTAACTTTCAAGTTCATCTTACATTCTTTTCTTCCCCTCCCTGAACTGGGGCTTTATTGGCCTGACTCCAGTAGCAAGCCGAACTTCTGCATCATAGCCTTGACATTTGTAAATCTCTTTCTGGAAAGCTCTTCACTTGGCTGACTGCCATATCTTTGGACCTCAGATCATTTGTCATTTCCTTGGGGAAGCTTTTCTAATTATTCTATTCCGAATTAACTTTTGTTCAAGTGTCATTATCACCTTGTTGATTATCTTGGTAGAACATTCTTCAGTCTGAGATTACTTTTATCAGACTACAAACTCCACAAGGGCAAGGATTGAATATGCCTTGTTTATTGTGGTTTTCTAAAAGCTAAACAGACACATGATTGGTTCTCAGTGTAATTGTTAATTGAATTTATGAATCCGTTGCTTGATTTATGATGTAGAAGGCCTTTACCTCTAGCAAATTGGAGCTTTCTATAGATAGGGCCTAAATGTGTTCTACTCAATGTCATGAGATGATGTGATTGTTAAGATCACACAATGACTTGGAACTTCAACTGAAAAATAGATTCAATCTACAAGGGTTTTTTGTTTTTTCTTTTATACTGTTTGTTTTATTTTTAATTTTATTTATTTTTTTATTTTTTATTTTTTGACCGGCAGAGTGGACAGTGAGAGAGAGACAGAGAGAAAGGTCTTCCTTTGCCGTTGGTTCACCCTCCAATGGCCGCCGCGGCCAGCGTGCTGCGGCCGGCGCACCGCGCTGATCCAATGGCAGGAGCCAGGTGCTTCTCCTGGTCTCCCATGGGGTGCAGGGCCCAAGGACTTGGGCCATCCTCCACTGCACTCCCTGGCCACAGCAGAGAGCTGGCCTGGAAGAGGGGCAACCGGGACAGAATCCAGTGCCCTGACCGGGACTAGAACCCGGTGTGCTGGCGCCGCAAGGCGGAGGATTAGCCTAGTGAGCCGCGGCGCCTGCCTATACTGTTTGTAATGTCTCATTTGCCAGGTCTCTTGTACAAAAGAAATTTGACAAATTTTGATTAGTATTTCTTTAAAGATTTATTTATTTATTTGAAATGCAGAGTTACAGAGAGGCAGAGAGAGAGAGAGTGAGGGAGGGATGGAGGGAGGGAGGGAAGGAGGATGAGGGAGGTCTTCCATCTGCTGGTTCACTCCCCAAATGGCTGCAATGGCTGGAGCTGGGCCAATCAGGAGCCAGGAGCTTCCTCCGAGTCTCCTATGCAGGTGCAGGTGCCCAAAGACTTGGGCCATCTTCCACTGCTTTCCCAGGTCATGGCAAAGAGCTAGATGGGAAGTGGAGCAACTGGAACTCAAAGTGGCACCCATATGGGATGCCAGCACTGCAGGTGGCAGTTTTACCCACTATACTACAGCGCTGGTTCCTGATAAGTAGTGTTTTTATGTAACTCTTGGAGTTTAGTAGAACTTAGCTTTAGCAACAGGTTGTGAACCAATTTTATGAAGAATTCTACATTGTTCAATACAGTACACATGAGCCATTTGTAGTTGATAAAATTAAAAATTGTGTTTTTCATTCCCATTAACCACATTGCAAGTTCTCAGTAGCCATTTGTGACTGGTGGCTACTATGTAGCACAGTTAGGAAACATTTCTTTCCTTGCAAAGTTATGGAGGGTAAAATTAAAATGTCTCTGTAGAATCCATTCACATTGAGTTTGAAAATGGATGTTGTTACCATGTTCATGTGGCACAGAGAAACCATGTTCTGCCAACATGTTCACCATTTTGAAATTTCCAAATAATGGAGTATAATCCTCATTCTGTAAACTATTTTTTTTTTTTTTTTGACAGGCAGAGTGGACAGTGAGAGAGAGAGAGAGAGAGAAAGAAAGGTCTTCATTTGCTATTGGTTCATCCTCCAATGGCCGCCGCGGCCAACACACCGTGCTGATCTGATGGCAGGAGCCAGGTACTTCTCCTGGTCTCCCATGGGGTGCAGGGCCCAAGCACTTGGACCATCCTTCACTGCACTCCCGGGCCACAGCAGAGAGCTGGCCTGGAAGAGGGGCAACCGGGACAGAATCCGGCGCCCTGACCGGGACTAGAACCCGGTGTGCCGGTACCGCAAGGCAGAGGATTAGCCTATTGAGCCGCGGCGCCGGCCCTGTAAACTATTTTTAAAAACTACATTTCAAACAATGAATTTTCCAAAATAAGTTTCTTAACTCTTTAATCAGCTTACACTAGACTTTTTCTGTGAATTAACTTATTCTAGTGACTATGAGAGGTAGTTGAAATAAATAGCATCATGTGGCTTCTGGTGTAAAAGTAGTCACAAAGTCCTCTGCTTTTGGCTTTCGTGTCTGAAATTTTTTTTTCATGTTTTTCTGGTTTTCTCTGATTTAGTCTCCTAGTGTTACCTGTCATCACTGTCTGTTTTCTCTACGTGCCTTTCCTGTTACCAATCCTTCTATCAACACCACATGCAGTCTATTTTTTCTTCCTGTTTCTAGAGTTTGGTTTAAAGTAAAAGATACATGAACTCCGTAAGCTTTAATGTTTGGATATTATGACTTTTTTTTTTTTTTTTAAAGATTTATTTATTTGAGAGGCAGAGTTACAGAGAGAGAAGGACAGTGGGAGAGGCCTTCCATCTGCTGGTTCACTCCCCTAAATGGTCTCAATGGCCATAGCTGGGACCATCCAAAGCCAGGAGCCAGTCTCCTCCAAGTCTGCAGCATGGGTGTGAGGGCCCAAGCATTTGAGCCATCTTCAACTGCTTTTCCAGGCCATCAGCAGGGAGCTGGATCAGAAGTAGAGCAGCCAGAATTCAAACTGGCACCAATAATGGAACCTGCCTGCCACAGTGCCAGCCCCTATGCCTTTTTTTATGTTTATTTTGTGTTAGTTCTTAGATCTTGCTTGTTTTGTAATTGATGGATGAATGTAACATACTTTAGGAATTAGGTCACAAGTTGTATATATGTAACTACTAAAGTTCTTAACTGCTCAATCTTAGTATTGAATAGAAATAGCCATCTAAAAAAAAAAAGTCATAGCCATCTTAAAAAAAAGAACTCATAGGAGAAAGTTATTTTCGAAATCAGTGGTCTCAAGTATAGTGTAAGTGCCTGCGGAAATCCTTGAAACACAGAATATCCATGAGGTCCAAACATTTTGTAATATTATGATATTTTTTTTTGTACTTACAGTGTAAAAACAATGGTGAGGTCATTTGTTGGTGCCTTACCCAAATCAGTACAGTAGTATTGAATGTATCAGTTGCCATTATATTCTTCTTTACCATGTGTTTTCAGTAAGAATCCTTGGCTAAGAAGTCCACTTTATTAATTTTAATAAATCTTAGTAATTGAGTACATATCTTTTTATTTTTTATGTATTTGAAAGGGAGACAGAAGGAGAGACAGAGACATAGAGAGATCTTCCATCTGCTGGTTCACTCCCCAAATAGCCACAATGGCTGGGGCTCGGCCAGACCAAAGCCAAGAACCCAGAACTTTCCGGTCTCCCACATTGGTAGGGGTCCAAGCACTTGGGCCATCTTCTGCTTTCCCGGGTGCATTAGCAGGGAGCTGGATCAGAAGTGGAGCAGCCAAGTCTTGAACTGGCACCCATATAGGATGCCAGCATGTCAGGTGGCAGCTTAACCTGCTACGCCACAGTGCTGGTCCCATTTTTTAGTATTTTGTGTGATAAAATGTACATTTAAAGCACATTTGCTACACATAGATTTATGGTTTTCCCAAGGAAAACCACTTGTGATCAGAGTAAAGATCTGAACTAGCTGCTTTTTTAATGAATACTTATTTGAAAGAACAAGTGACAGATAAACTATGGGCTATGGTGTTTCAGACTTGACCATTTTACTGCTTTCTTTTAAAATTGATGATATGAGCCTGCCAATTGTTGTTTTTCTTTAATTTATTTATTTTATTTGAGAAGTAGAGTATCAGAGAGGGAATGACAGAAAGAGATCTTTTATTTACCTGTTCTCTCTGCAGATGACTACAACAGCCAGGGTAGATCAGGCTGAAGAAAGGAGCCAGGAACTCCATTTGGGTCTCCCACATGTGTGGCAGGAACCCAAGGAATTGGGCTATTGGGAAGCTGGATCAGAAGCAGAGTAGCTGGGACTCAAACCAGTGCTCTGACATAGAATACAGGTGTCCCAAGCAAGAGATTAACGCATTGCACCACAATGCCTGTCCCACTTTGTCAGTTTTTATTGCCATTTATGCAGTTAGAACTTGCAAGGGAAAATTAGAATTTTGGAAAACTTGTATCTTACCATGGTGAGCTTGACAGCTTCCTAATACTGATGCTTGTTGACTTACCATATAGTTACATTCTGATAAACCATTTTAAGTGGAGAATATGGTAAGTCAAAGATGCTAATAATATCCCTAACCTGTCAGACATCATAGTTCATTCCTATCTTAAACATGCTCAAAACACTTAGAATAGCCTGGAGTTGGGCAGGATTATCTAGCACAAAACACATTTTATAAAGTGTTGAATATTTCACATAATTTATTGAATGCCTGTATCCAGAAAATATTGACAACAAAATATAATGTTGAGTTTTGGTTGTTTACCCTTGTGATTGCATGACCGAATTGCCACTGTGCCTATCTGATGCTGCCTGGTAACGTGAGAGAGTATTGTGCAGCAAATTGCTAGCCCAGGAAAAGACAAAGTACAATGTCTACAGAATGCATATCACTTTTGTGATCATAAAGTTGAAAAAAATTATAGGTTGAACCATCATAACTTAGGAACCATCTGTACAGTATTTTTTCTTACACACCTGTGACAAAGTTTAATTTATAAATTAGACACAATAGAGATTAATGATGAGAGCTAATAGTAAAATGGAACAATTATAACCACATACTGTAATAAAATTATATGACTGTGGTCTTTCATTCAAAACACCTTACTGTTTTGTACTCACCCTTCTTGTGATGGTGTGAGATGAGACTTGAAGCCCTTCATAGCTTCTCTTTGGCATTATCTGGATTGCCATCACTGCTACTCTTGCACGTTAGGGCTATTAAATAAATAAGGGTTTTTTGAACTTAACCAAGATGGCTTCTGAGTAGCAGATGGTTAGAGTTTTATCATGGTACACAGAACAGTGTAGAACTGAAAACTCAGGAGTTGTTTAAAGAATGGAAATGGAACTAATATTAGAACATTCTGGAACCTTTGATCTTATAATTACTATAGGCAGATTTGCCAAACTGTTGACTCCGTGAAATTGTGGAGTTTCTCCAGTGAAGGTCTCGAATGGTTTCTGCATGCTAGAGATTGACTAACGGTGACTTAGCAGTGTAGTAACTTAAGTAATAAACTAACTACATATTTAAAGCCAGACTGAATTTTCCTTGTTTATAATACAAGAAATAAAAAAAAAACATATTGAATACATTTTCTATAAAATAAAGTTTCACGTGTTAAATATTTTCTAGTTGCTTTTGTTACTTTAGAGAAGCAAACTTTGATAATTGGCTTCATTAGTCAAACTTGATATTCTGATTTCTTGAAATTTTTTCCAAAGCTTTACTACATTTTAAAATCTTAGTTGAATTCTGGAATTTTGATTTTTTTTCCTTAAATGTAGCTTAGCTGTGACAGAAATGTGCTTCTCTAGCCAAGCAAAAAAACTATTCAGTACTGTTTGCATTCTTCATAGGGCTATTTCTTGGTTTTATGTGCTTTTAAGTTGCCCCCTCTTTATGAGTCACTATAATGTTTTAAGTCAAGATTTTTTTTTTTTTAATTTATTTATTTGAAAGGTAGGATTACAGAGATTGAGGGGGAGACAGAGAAAGATCTTCCATCTGCTGGTTCACTCCCCAAATGGCTACAATGGCCAGGGCTGGGCCAGGCCGAAGTGAGGAACCAGGAGCTTCTTCTGAGTCTCCCACATGGGTGCAGGGAAGCAAGTACTTGGGCCATCCTCCTCTGCTTTCCCAGGTGCATTAGCAGGGAGCTTGTTTGAAGTGGAGTAGCCAGGTCTCGAACTGGTGCCCATATGGAATGCCAGCACCACAGATGGCAGTTTTACCTGTGTGTGCCATAGTGTCGGCCTCTACATCAACATCTTTAAGAAGGCCGTACTTGATTTCCCCTTACATATTTACATGAATCAAGCTTTAGAATTAGAATTATTATCAGGCTTCTAGTGATGTATTCTCTTCCCTAAATCTGTTATTTCTATAATCTGCCTCTCCATTACTGACAGTTCGGTTCTTTAGTTGCTTTGGTCAAAAGCCTTATCACCATCTTGACTTTCCTCTGCCTCTTTACATGTGATCCACAGCAACTTCTGTGGCTCTACCTTCAGAACATATCCAAAGTCCTCAGTTGTTGCCATCATCGTCTCACGTGTTATTTCCATAGTAACCTCCTTGTCAGATACTGTCAGCTTCTCCACTCAAAATCCTGTGTTGTTTATCCCATCTCATTATGAATGAAACTCCATGGGGCTTGCACAGTGTCAGCATCCAGCTGGCTCAAGTCCTGGCTTCTGATTCAGCTCTGTGCTAATATGCCTGGGAAAGCAAAGAATGGCCCAAGTACCTGGGCCCCTGTGTTGATGTGGGAGACTAGATGAAGCTCGTGGCTTTTGGCTTAGGCCTAGCCCAGCCCTGGCTGTTGTAGCCATTTGGAGAGTGAACCAGTGGATGGAAGATCTTTTGCTTTGCCTCTTCCTTTCTGTCTCTGTAACACTACTTTTCAAATTAATAAATAAATCTTTAAGATAGAATAACACCCCCCTTGATCTGCAGAACCCTGTGCTGCATCTCTGCGTGCCTGTACTCTCATGTCTACCTGGACCCAACCACACTGGCCTTATTAATTGCCAACCTACTTTGCATTTTACTGACATTTTGTTTGTTGTTTGTTTCTCCAAATGTAATCTGTGTGATAGCAGAGATTTTCATGTTTGTTTTTTTGCTTTATTCCTAGAGCTAGAAGGGTTAATGTTGGCAGTAACTGCTCAATAATGTTTGTTCAAAGAGTAAATAGAATCACTTAATTTAACTCAGAGGAAATAAGGATAGGCAGATAATATCACTTAGCTTTCTGGACATGAGAAAGGAGAGGTAAGGAAAAACAGGAATAGAGTTGTACAAAATGTCATTTGTGAGCAAACATTGCTATGAGCCCCTGATTTGTGACGAATTAGGGGAAAAAAAGATGGAGACATTGTCCTCTACTGGCCAAAGAAAGTCTTGTCCGGGGGCTGATGCTGTGGTGTAGAGGGTAAAGCTGCCACCTGAAGTGCCAGCATCCCATATGGGCACCGGCTGTCTACCATGGCCTGGGAAAGCAGTAGAAGATGGCCCAAGTCCTTTGGCCCCTGCACCTGCATGGAGACCCGGAAGAAACTCCTGGCTTCTAGCTTCGGATCGTCCCAGCTGTGGCCGTTGCAGCCAACTGGGGAGTGAATCAGCAGATGGAAGACTTCTCTCTCTCTCTGCCTCTCTTTCTCTCTCTGTGTAACTCTTAACTTTCAAATAAATAAATAAATCTTAAAAAAAAAAAAAATGATGTATTTAACTGAAACCTGCCAAGAAAAGAGGAAATTAATTTTTGTCATGCAGGAGAATTTATATCCAAACATGACAAAAACTACAGTCTGGTTTCAATATTATGAACCAAATATTTTCCTCTCAGTAATATTTAGTAGATATGTCTTTTCTTTGTAGACATGCACATGATGGTCTCCAGGCCAGAACAGTGGGTAAAGCCAATGGCTGTAGCAGGAGCCAATCAGTATACCTTTCATCTTGAAGCTACTGAGAACCCAGGGGCTTTGATTAAAGACATTCGGGAGAATGGTATGAAGGTAAGAAGTCAACAGTCCCGTAATAACATACTAATCACTCAGAGTTTTGAAGATTTGGTAGAAAACAGGAAATGATAAGACCTGACCTAAGCAGTTATTCTTCAGCCGTGAGGCCAGATTTTAAGTCTGACTTGTTTGTCAGAGAGTATGTACGTGTATCTACTGTTTCCTGAAAGTTACTGCCTTTTGGATTTATTTTTGATAGTCATATTAATTTTTTACCAAATTAACTTTTTTTAAGTTAATGTAATGGTATGAATAATTTTTTATTCCATTTGTTATTTTATAAAAATATTTCTATGAGGATTGAAATGCCAAAATAATATTATACAGAAATAACTGCTAATATGATGTAGCAACTTTGTTTCTGTTATAGGTTGGCCTTGCTATCAAGCCAGGAACTACAGTAGAGTATTTGGCACCATGGGCTAATCAGATAGATATGGCCTTGGTTATGACAGTGGAACCTGGTTTTGGAGGACAGAAATTCATGGAAGATATGATGCCAAAGGTAAAAGAAGTATTGGATTCTGGGGTGAGGCTTTTATTGAATGTGCTCATTCAGTAAGCACGAAAGGCTTGAATATTTAAGCATAAATATATATTCAGAGTTTCATAAATTAAAAGACTTATATATTTAGACATGGCCTATTCTGAAAGTGAGGACATAGAGATGCTTATAGATCATTGTAATATATGATAAACATTGTCATAGATCTCAGGTTTTGGAAATCAGAAATAATACTACATCTTCATCTTCACAGTTTCTTCTGAAACTGTTATCTCTGTAATCTTTAGGTTTCTTGGGAGTTTTCCTTGAATGTTAAAGGTTTGTCTTTAACAAATACAGTTTGTGAAGTTATGAAATACAGTTTGTGAAGTTATGACAAATTGAATGCTATTTGCCAAACAGAATAAAACGTGCTTTTATAAAACTTAATTTGTTTCATTAAAAGGCAAGTGTTCCCCAGTAATGTCTGTACATTATATGAGAGATCTGTACATAATGTGAGAGATTTGGAGATTTAATGACTAACATTGGCTATTTGACTTTCTTGTTTATTTGGTTGTTTTTTTCCCCCACATACCCACTTTAGGAGTCACTTATTTCCTCGTGTATATCTAGGTTCACTGGTTGAGGACCCAGTTCCCTTCTTTGGATATAGAGGTCGATGGTGGAGTAGGTCCTGACACTGTTCATAAGTGTGCAGAGGTGAGACTACTTCCCCCGGCACTAGACCACTTTCCTGTCAAATATAATTTCTAAGGCATTTTCTTGTAGACCAAAAAGATTTCACCTACATTTCCTAAATTAATATTTTTTTAATTGAAAAGTACTTTTTGTTTAAATGTAGAAGTAGGAAGATAAATTGCAATAAATGAATATTCCAAAATCACATAAATTGTTAAATGGTAAATCCTGGTTGTCTAAGTGAAACTGAAGAAAATTCTTTGTTTAAAAAAAGAGTATGCTGAATGCCAGTCCTTTGAAGGCTCATATCTAGACCCTTGGGATGAAAGATTTTTCCAAAATAGGGAAAACTTTTCTCAAAGGGGAAGAATAGAAAGTGTATTGGTTATCTATTTTGTCCATTTTAAAAACTGAGTAGCACCATTTTTGATGAAAATCAAGGTCAGATACCTGACAGTGGCCTCTTTGGATACTCCAGTGATTCTCTATGTAGACATGTGATAAGTTTCTGTTATTTATTTTTTTAGTCAGGGTCTTGAGATTTGTAGAAGGTGCTAGCCCTTCCTGTAGCACAACAGGTAGTTAAAACCTAATGGCTTGCTTTTATTCAGCAGTGTAGTGTATCTGCACTTCGAAGTTCTTCTGTAAGTGACAACACTTTGCTGCTTGGTACATACCTATTAAAAGCTTGGCAGTGAGAGACACTTAGGAAAGAGGAGTTGGCCAGATGAGTAGTGAGCATGCACCTTTTGACCCCTTTGGAATTGCTTTTTACTGAATTGTGCTTTGCTGATTAAATGAAGAGAAGTTAAGTGGTAATCCTGTAAAACTTAACTTTTCTGTTGACTGTTGCCGGAGATGCAATGAGTAACAAAGTTTCATTGGAGGTGTTTTCCACAGCTTGTGGTTTCCCCCATCCGCGCCTTTCTTCTATCAGTGAATCACATAATAGATTGGGGTTGATTCCTAAAGTCAAATCCTAGGAAGCTGAGCATTTCAGTGAAATGCACTGAGGCATGAAGTCATGTGCCATTCTTTTAAGATTATCTTTTAGAAGATTAAAAGACTGTTCTTTTAGTATCTGTGGGGACATTAGTATATGAGGGTATTTCAGAAAGCTTATAGGGAAGAATGGAATTAAAGATGCTTATTTGGTTCAAAATAATTTTAGAATTCATATGTAGTTTTTTCCATAATATTTAATCTCCATCACTGCTTTGTAGACCCCTCATGTGCATGAATCTCAAAAATGTTTTGCATCAAAATAAACCTACCTTTAACTTTATCATTAATACCATTTTCCATGAATATGTAAAAAAGTTCCTCATATTAGAAAAAAGCTTGTTGCAACTGAGGATTCAGAAAGTTTTATGATCACTTAGGTGTATCTAAAATTAATTTTACATCATTTGTGAACATTTTAACTTCTTACCTCATTCAATTAAATATCAAAGTGGCTTTCATACAAAGTGTTGACAAAGGCAAGGGTATAAACTCGTGTCCACTAATTCTCTTTTAGGGCTTTGCATCTTTAAGGCATAACCTAAGTGTTTGCTTCTTCCAGGCAGGAGCTAACATGATTGTGTCTGGCAGTGCCATTATGAAGAGTGAAGACCCCAGATCTGTGATCAACCTGTTAAGGAATGTTTGTTCAGAAGCTGCTCAGAAACGTTCTCTTGATCGATGAAACCACAAAGATCCCAAAGTTCCTGCTTATGGAATCTTTTTACTTGGAAAATAGGAATATTGATTTCCAAATCATATCACAATTGAGGCAGTGCTGCTTTGCTGAGCAATTATTCATTCCCATGATTAAAACCTATTGTGCAGTGTTCTAGAAGGTTAGGAATTGGTATGTATAACTACAATTTTAGAGATGCAATTTAAAAATTAAGTGTGATAGAATACTCTGTTTTTACTGGGATGCTTGACTTTTATAAAGTAAAACTATTAAGATTACAAACAGAAATGTATCTTAATCCCTAAGAAGGCATTTAGTTAGCTACTTCGAAAAAAAATTTTTATTTCTAAAAATTTTCTGCTTTTTCTCAGCTATTTTCCAAAAGCAAAGGAAATGTTTATGTCTTTGGTATTTCATGTCATTTGTGATTTGTTTATGTTTGACAATATGAGTACAATGGAACTTAAAAATATAAGCTTGGGTGGGATGGCATACCATTTTCTTGCATCTTAAACATTTATTCTTCACTTTTCACCTCATACTTGATTCATAAAAGCTATCTAAACCATATGTGAAAGCCTAGGAGTTCTAAAATATAAGTATAGATTTTTATCAAGGTGTTAATTCTGTCAGAGCAGTTATTCAGTAATTCCCATCACCATTTTTCTTAATTTCACTCACTATTCTTAAGGATATTTAAATAATGCTGTTGTGTTAGCTCTGAGTAGAAAGAAAAAGTAAAGCTTCTATTTGGAAAAAATATTGGTTGAATCTTGCCTCTGCCCTTTTCTGGCTATTTGTCCTTTTCCAGTCACCCATCCTTTCTTGGTCTTCTATTAACTCATTTATTTGTTGTATGTAATTACAACAATGCAGGGTTTTGGTGACCATTAAAACAAGTAATGTATATAAATCTTCTACTACTGTTTTCAGAAAATTTGAGGAAGCTCAATAAAAAGTGGCCAGCATTATGTAAGCTTGTTTCATGGGTTATAAAATACTTCCAAAATAATCACATTAAATGTATATAAATTACACCTATAAGACGCAGCACATGTTTTTATCTCCAATGCAGAAAGTAAAGTTTAGCAATAGACTGACACCATAGAAAGGATATGTTAAGACAGGATTTCTAGTAGTTAATCTTTACAGTGAAATCCTTGGGAGGTAGGTTATTCAAAAGAAGCTTCTTTTACTTAACATAGTCTTATTTCCAATCTAATATTGTTGTTGTGTAACAGAACCAGATGGCTGAGAATATTCTGGAACTATGAATCTTTACCCCCAATGATAAATATTTAATACAAGAAAGTTCAGGTAGGCAAAGAGATGACTTGGTACAGAATTAATCCGTAAACTAAATATAATTGTGTTATACAGACACTACAGATATGTTTCAACTACTTCGTTCTTCTAAATCCTTTTGCTATGTAATAAATATGGTAAGAAATAACAGGATCAGCATCATCCTTCTTGAGGCCAGTATGAGTTTTGAGAAAGATGATTTGAAAAATAGGACTATCAACATGAATAGAACAATGGTTGCTCAGGTTTTGTCCCTATATTAAGAGGTAAAAATTGGCTTGATACTTTTTATTTTGGCTTATGAAAGGTTTATGCCATGTATACATGGTAGGTAATCAAATCAAACAACACAAGGTATATAGAAATAACTTTAATTAAAAAACTTACATAAAGATTATAATATATCAGATGTGACAAAGATTGTGAGTTTATTTGCCTGGACAACTTGTGTTTGTCTGGCTTTTGTTTTTTCTTAAAAAATAAATGCATAGTAAAACTACAAGCAAAAGTTTGTCAGTATTGAATTTGAATATTTTCTCCCTTTTAAGGGACCAGTATAATTTCTAATCCCTAACAATAACTTAGTGTCAAATCCAACAGACTAGGTTAAATGGCCAGAATTTTCAGTTATAAGGGTACTGTAACTTTAATAACCTTTTTTACATGACAAAGTGATTCATATAAATTGTCAACTTTCACATAGAAAACAAAAGTGGTATAATAGCTTCAAAAGGGATTTTCCTTAATGTACTCTTCAGTATCCAATATTGAAGGGATGTCCTTTGAAAAATTTTACTTCTCAATCTAGGAGGAAAGTAAGAATAGATGTTTATTTGAATAAACTATGGCAATGAATGACCAAATTAGCTAGAACTATAACAGTATTTCTAGATTAGCTAGAAACTAGTAATTCTAGCTACTTAGAAATACAACCATTTAAAAAATTTTGTAATGATAAGATTAACTTGTTGAGAATCTTAAATTGATATCTTCTCTTCAGGAGAACACAGTAGGTAAAACTTAAGTTGAGTTTTCAAAATTAATGTTTTAAAATGCACCAATATTTAACTCTAATTTGCTTTTCTTTATTAGGAGTAAACAAAGTAGCCTATGGTTAGTCCAACTGATACCAGTGATTTTGAATAAATGAGTATTGTGTTATCTGATATAAAGATTTCCATAAATAACTTCTATGGTTACATTTTTTTTTTAAATGAGCTTCCTCTCCATAGTCAAGAGTTTTGGATATTTTTTATCAGTGGAAAACTGCTTTAAATATGAGCATATTACACCTTACATTTTATAGGGGGTAGTTCATACATGCACTTGCAAGTGGAGTGGGTCATTGCCAATGTAGTTTTAAAATTACATGTGTGGTATGTGTGTGTGTGTATGTATGTATATATATCCTAAACACACATTTGAATATTCTAATATATTTCTAATGCAAATTTAATGAACTGACATGTATAGAAAAATAATAGCTGTCATTTGATGCACATACTTGTGTGTGTGTGTTTGTATGCACATGTGGTATATAGTCTTAAAAATTACTCAGTAATATGATTTGCCATCAAATTGCAGTTGTTAGTATCCTGGTGCTTGTAATTTGTGTGATAAACACAAATGACTAGCACTTGTCTAGGGAAAAACTAGTTACTGCTGTGGTTCAAGAAGGAAAAAGAGACTTATCTTGCCTGTTTCATAAACAGCCTAAAAGGTTAATACATGCAGTACACGCTCTTATTCTGGAATTGTGACCAGAGAGGGTGAGGGATCTAGAACAAGCTTTTTTTTCTTCTGTCTTCCCTTCAGTTACATAGTTTTCTTAACCTGTTCGGTGTCACCTATTTTTCTTAACATTAATGAGTCCCAGGTCAAAAGTTTTGTACTCTTCCATTCCAACTGACTGCTTTTTTGGATGGTGGCCATTCTCTGCACTGGCACAGAAGAGTTCACTGTGCAGAGCTGTGCTTGACTTTTCTGTCTGATCCTTTTTTTCATCTTGGCATAATAAAGCTGCTGTGTCTTCATCTTTCAGTGGAAAAGCCCGTCGGTCCCACCACAGAGACTGAAAGGGGAAACATTCTCAGTTAAGTTTCAACTATTTTGTTTAAATTCATGTATTAAAAATCTACAAATATGAATTTTGTAGTAATCACTGTTCTTTTAGCACGCAAATTTACAAATTGTCATTTGGCCCTAATCTCAATTCAAAATGGAATGTCCTGAGAGTTTAATGTTTTGGGAATTAGTTTTTTTACTTTGCCTTTGCCAGAAAGGAGATGCTGCCACAGGGCAGTGGTCTTCATTTTTGGTCTAAAAACACTTTGAGAAAGCCACTTTAAAAGTGTTTTATAAGTGATCTACTTTAGTTTTTTCATTTTCATCCCATTATTATACATGTCTATTGAGTTATTCTTTGAGCTTTCTGTAACTTGCCTACTAATTTCTATAGTCTCTACTCTCCATTCTAGATCTGGTTCTTTTTCATCATTTATTTATGAAGAGAGGTATACAAACTTTATGGATGCTGTGTAAGAGAACACGCCCCTTGAGGTAGGAACTGGATCTATAGAGACAAGTAAAAATCTATAAGAAGAGGAATAGAAATAGCAGCTAGCATTTACTGTGTACTGGATGCTTTTCTCCATTAATCAGATTTGTTTTGTAATAACTTGGATAGCATTACCATTCCCTAATAAATGAGTATGTAGAAGTTCGTACTGACAAGTTACACCAGAAGGTAAATGATTGTAGTTAGTGATGGAACTAGAATGTTGGAACACAGATTCTCTGATTCCTACACGTCATTCTAGATGGAATTGTCTTACTGAATTTTTGTTTCTTGAGAGAGAGACAGAGTTCCTATCTGCTAGTTCACTCCCCATATACCTGCAATGGTTGGTTCAGAGCCAGGAGCCAGGAACTCAAGTCTGCTGTCCCACATGGGTGTCAGGAACCCAATGACTGGAACTGTTACTGCTGCCTCTCAGAGTGTGCCGGAAGCTAGAATTAGGAACTGTAGGCAGGACTTGAACCTGGCTTCTCCAGTGTAGGATGCAGGCATCCTAACCAGTAGGCTAAGTGCCCACTCCCTGTCTTAGTGAATTTGTTGTATAATGATGATAAATCACTTTCAGTAAGCAGTTTCTATAAACAAGTGGAGAAAAAGGTAAAAAGGAAATTTAATCCTGTATGTTATACTTACCTTGATTTCTTGACTTTCACTTAAAGAAGGTGAGCCATGTGCACAAAGATCATGATTCTCTGAAGAAAACTTCAGAGTACTTTCAGCAGGACATTGTTGACCACTATGAAAGTCACTGGGGTACTCTTTGAAAAGCAAGTCCTGTCCTTCAGTGTGCTTACTGAAAGCTCTAAGAAAAACAAGAAAATATGCAATTGTTTTTTTTATAAGGTCTTAACATTTTATGAAGCAGACTTACCAGTTTCAAGTTATTGTGACTTTTCTTTCAATAGTTCTGAGAAAAGTTTTAAAAATTCATCTGATGATCATGATATAATTTCCATATCTCAGAGGCTTAACTAGTACTTTATGAAATATTTACCAGATTATAATAGTGGTCTTTGTCTTATGATTTGGTTTGTTTTTGTTTTTCAGAATACAAGAAAGGGAAACTATGACCCTTAAAATTTTTTGAGTTCCTGGGAGATTCTATAATTATTATACTATCATTCATGAAGGACTCCATTTGCACTTTCTGTTTCTGGAAAGTTTTATCTCTGTAACGTGGAAAAGAGAATTCGAGAATCTCATCTATGTTAGGAGAACTCTTAGAACAAGGATCTAGAGTAAATCTGGATAGCTTGTGACTTAAATAGAAGTGCTTTTTAATGATACTAATGAAACAAGAGATGCCACTTAACTAAAGTTACTATCAGACTTCACCTTATCTTGGCTTTTGAGTTTGGCTGTATTAAAAATAATCAAATGTAGATACAAAATACCCAGGGATTCTGTGACATACCTAAGTACTAATTTTGTCTGAATTAAACCTCTTTCCTCAGAAGTCTGAGTTTTTAAAAAGTACAGAAAGTCTGTGGGAAAATGGAGTGAAAAGATGAGTTTAGGGGCCAATGTCTGGCTTGTTGGTTAAGACACCTCTTGAGATACCTGCATCCTATATTGTAGTACCTGGGTTTGTGTCCTGGTTCCACTCTGATTCTACAGTCATGTTATTTCACACCTTAGAAAGCAGCAGGTAATGCCAGAGTTAATTGTGTCCCTGACACCTGTGCAGGAGATCTGACTTTGGCCCAGACCCTTGACCATTGCAGGCATTTTGGAGTAAACCAGCAGATTGGAGCTCTCTTTGTCTCTTTCTGCCTCTCAAGTATATAACAAATAATTTGAAAGAATGTTTATTTTGGGGCAAAGAATTTTTGAAATTTTTGCATAGCTTTTTTTTTTTTTTTTAAGATTTATTTATTTGAAATCCAGAGAAGAGAGGGAGAGACAGAGATATCTTCAATCTATTGGTTCACTTCCGAATGGCCAAAACAGCTGGAGTTGGGCCAGGCCAAAACCCCAGAGCCTGGAATTCTATACAGGTTTCCAGTGTGGGTGGCAGAGGCATAGCTTTTTCATTTTTTTCATGAAATTTTTGAAGACCCCTCATTTTTTTGGGCTTGAATTTTTAAACTTTTAAAAATTTAAAAAGATTTATGTTAAATAATGCATTTTTGAATTGTTTATGTTAAAATGGGTTACCCAAATTCTAACCTCCAATCTGTGGCCACTGTTATAGTAGATTGAAATGACCCACTCTATTAATATAATTTACATATTATTTGCTAGCTAAATATATTCTTGAAGCTGACCATGAACATTTGAAGGAATGGAGTAAATGTAATTAGCTTACATATACTTTGAATATTAATTGAAATTGAGTCTGTGCAGTGTGTATTTTTTGCTTATTTCATATGCCTTCCATGATTATGTATTTTAAATTTATAATACTTGCCTGCTGTTTCTTCTGTGCCACTTGCTTTGTTCCCAGAGTGACCACCTGGCTTGCTCTCTCTCTTCATATTTTTTGTGTCTTAGGGAGAAGACTTCATCAGAAAGATCTTCTATCTGGAATTAGAAATAAAAATTTTTGCTTTTATCAGAAACATTTTGAAATATGGGACAGGTTTCAAACAACTCATCTAGAGAACAATAGGAAGCAGTCTCTAAAATAAATACAATCTGTGTAAGTCAAGAGAACAAATGTTGGTCACTCAAATTCCTGAAAGCAGAGAGTCAGAAACTTCTTTTTCTAACTTTTTCTTTTGATTCATTTTTGAAGACTGGATTATAAGTGGTATTGATTGCTCATTATGGAGCACACACTGATCCAGGAACATGTTAATGTTAATGTCAAAGAAAAGGAAAACTGATTATTTGAGATAAATGATCATTAACTTAATGAATGACTTAACTGGAGTTGTAACCTGGATAACTATTATTTCTAGAGACCATCACTTTGGAAGTAGCTTGGTTATCACGTATTTTTTCCTTGAAATTGTTCTTATCAAAATTAATTTTACTCATTATAGTCTCTTACCTGCAGTTTTATAATCCAAAAATCTGAAAAAACAAGTTTTTCATAAGTCATTTGGTGACAGCCTGATATAGAATGGTGTGAGGCTGCCAACTGAGCATCTCATTTAATATTTGATGTTAAAACCTTATCAAGACCCTTCAGGTATCAAATGACATCTGTACCACATTCATTTTTATTTATTTGAAAGAGTTACAGAGAGAGGTAGAGACAGAGAGAGGGGTCCTCCATCTTCTGGCTCACTCCCCAGATGGCTGCAATAGCTGGAGCTGCGCTGATCTGAAGTTAGGAGCCAGGAGCTTCCTCTGGGTCCTCTACATGGGCGTAGGGGCCCAAGGACTTGGGCCATCTTCCACTGCTTTCCTAGGCCATAGCAGAGAGCTGGATTGGAAGATAAGCAGCCAGGACTAGAACCAGCACCCATATGGATGCCAGCACCTCGGGCCAGGGCTTTAACCCACTGTGCCACAGCACTGGCCCCATCCATTATTATTTTAATATTAATAATTAACCTAGTTTAAAAGCAAATTGACCCTAATATTTCGGAAATGGTGTTGTAAACTTGAATATTGAAATTTAGGCTCCTCATACAGAAAAATTAATACCAAGAGGGAAAGTAAATACTCAAATTTAGTATCTATAATCCATGTAAATGACACATTTTACTTCTTTTTTATTGATATATGTTTTTGCAGTAACTTTGCACAGAAACATTTTTCTATCTAGTACCTTTTTGAGAGAAATTAGTACCTTTTTTTTTTACAAAAGCAAAGAAGTCAGAAGTTACTTTAAAATGTCAGATTAAGCAAGCTTCATAATATATAATGTACAATTATCCCATTATAAAAGGCAACTTACCTCTTCACCTAGATTATATTCATCCAAAGGCTGAAGAACAACCATCCTCCAGCTGTTGAAGATAAAAACCAATTTATACACCTTTTATTATCTTAGCTAAGTGTAGCAGTTTTATTCTCTAAGCACAGCTAAGTGCATTCATGTTTTGGGACTTTCTAATCATTATAATTTAATACTTTGTTTTTGAAGAGAGAAAAATATTTGTATTAGTAGGAAAAAAGAGGAGTCATTACTTTGGCTTTACAGTGAACAGTCTCTTCTGCATAGCTGCATTTTATACATAGTAATCACGAACCGACTTGGAGCAAGTCAGAGGTATGCTGATAAGCTGGCTTACCAAAAGAAAGAAAAATAAAAAGGACCTGATTTGGATTTGTAATTTTACTAGGTTCTTTGGTGTAAAAATGCCTATCATGGCACATTTGAATTAACCAAAGTTTTAACTGGTGTACAGAACAACCACATGAACCAGTAGCTCCATTCTACCACCAAATCAAAAAACATCAGAACCACAAATGATAGTCTTAAGTATAAGATATCTAGGAGTTTTCTAGAGCAAGAATGAGGAATGTCCAGCCTGTGGGTTGGGTAAGACCCATGGAATCATTTGGTCTGGCCTTGCCAAGGCAACTGTAGGTGGAACTTGAAATTAAATAAATCTATAGCAGGCTCATTTTTAAGTTGATAATTTTGTGTGTTATATGATGTTATAAATACTCACATGGCCCTTGGCAGAGAAAAGGTTTCCTATCCTTGTTCTAGAGTATTAGCTTTCTTAATAAGTCAAAACAGTTTTGTAGTAAAAAGATAATTAGAATACAGATGGATAGGAATTAACCGCAGTTGTCATGTACTTCATGTCTTTGTCCTAACATTTTCTCTGTAATTCCTGGTTCCACACTGATATTCTTTTCTTTTTTTAAAGATTTTATTTATTGGGGCTGGTGCTTTGGTGCAATGGTTTAAAGCCCTGGCATGCGGCACCACCATCCCGTATGGGCACTGGTTTGAGTCCTGGCTGCTCCACTTCCGATCCAGCTCTCTGCTATGGCCTGGGAAAGCAGTAGAAGATGACCCAAGTCCTTGGGCCCCTGCATCCGTGTGGGAGACCCGGAGGAAGTTCCTGGCTCCTGGCTTCGGATCGGCGCAGCTCTGGCCGTTGTGGCCAACTGGGGAGTGAACCAGCAGATGGAAGACCTCTCGTCACTCTGCAACTCTTAGAAATAAATAAAATCTTTTTTTTTTTTTTTAAAGATTTATTTATTTATTTGAAAGAGTTACACAGAGAGGAGAGGTAGGGGCCCAAGGACTTGGGCCATCTTCTACTGCTTTCCGAGGCCATAGCAGGGAGCTCGATCGGAAGTGGAGCAGCCAGGACTCGAACTGGCATCTATATGGGATGCAGGCACTGCAGGTGGCAGTTTCACCCACTGTGCCACAGCGTTGGCCCCCTCCACACTGATATTCTTAGAAACTGTTTTCATGATTGTTTTTTGTTTGTTGGTTTGTTTGTTTTTTTTTTGACAGGCAGAGTGGACAGAGAGAGAGAGACAGAGAGAAAGGTCTTCCTTTTGCTGTCGGTTCATCCTCCAATGGCCGCCACGGCTGGTGCGCTGCGGCCGGCTCACCGCACTGATCCGATGGCAGGAGCCAGGTGCTTCTCCTGGTCTCCCATGGGGTGCAGGGCCCAAGCACTTGGGCCATCCTCCACTGCACTCCCTGGCTACAGCAGAGAGCTGGCCTGGAAGAGGGGCAACCGGGACAGAATCTGGCGCCCCAACCGGGACTAGAACCTGGTGTGCCAGCGCCGCAAGGCGGAGGATTAGCCAAGTGAGCCAAGGCGCCGGCTGTTTTCATGATTGTTAAAAATATTGGCTTACTTCACTGCCAGTAAGAAGGCACTCTGTACACCCTGAATAATATTCAGGGACCCACAGTTTGGCTTTTTTTTTTTTTTTTTTTTTTTTTGCTTTCACTCTCTCTATTAACCTGTGCAAAATCTATCTAGCTAATAAACCTTGTATACCTGACTATATACCTTTGTTTAGGTATCCCTATGTAAATACCCTCTACATTCATCAATGTCTTCCCAGATTTTCCTACCTATCTTAGGAGTTTATTGGTAACTGCAAAAACACCAAAGTCTTTTTGTTGTCACACGTGTTACTGTCTAAGGGTATGAATACACCATGCATAGGTAATTCCTTTCTTCTCTGAACTCTTTAATTTTTGAGAAACTGAGCTGCCATTTGCTGGTTCAATCCTCAAATGCCTGCAACAGCCAGGGCTGGGCTTTACTGGGACCTGAGCTGGAGACCCAGAACTTGATCCAGGTCTCTCACTGTGTGTGGCAAGACCTAGTTACTTAAGTCATCACTGCTGCCTCCCAGGGTCTGCATTAGCAGGAAGCTGGAATCAGAAGTGAAGGTGAGGATTGAGCCCAGATGTTCTGATGTGGGACACAACATCTTTACTGCTAGGCTAAATGCCCACCCCCACACCTCTGTCTTTTTTAGGGCAAAGGATTGTTTGTTCTTATTGTTTTTAAATCACTAAAGTATTTTAAGTGTCATATATATAACAGGTACATAAGTATAACTCTAAGGATGCTAAAGTAAGTTAGTGCAGCAATTCCCAATTTGTAATAAGAACTCAGAAGTTTTAATACTACCTGGTACTTTTTGTTCCACGTGAGTAATGTAAAAGTTGCTTTTACCATTTTCCCTACATAGTTATCCAGATACCGAAGGTAGGGTGGGAGAACATCTTCTTTTCGTTAATGAAGGTTCTAACTTTGCTTTGAAATTTTAAGTTTGTTAAAGAAGTAAAGAAGAAACATAAAAAGATGTAAGTACACATACCTTGGAGTAAGTATTTCTTTGTATTGGAGTTTCTCTAACTTAGCTGGGGCTACTAATGACATGGGAATCACAATGTTATCTATGTCATAAGAGCTCTCACTTCTCAATCTCCTTCGTGTAGTATTCTGCAAAACAGGATTATAGTACTGCTTTATAGTTACATCTGTTTACCTGTAGTGATACTCTGTGAGTCATTTACAGATAGTATCCTAGTGTACCAGTTATGTAATTTTGGCAAATACAAATTTTGGCAAATGTTACAGAATCTGATTTTAGAATGTGGTGGGAGGGGAGAAGGCAGTGTTTGGTGCAACAAGTTAAGATGCTAAGTAAGGTGCCCACTTCCTGTGTTGGAGTGTCTGGTTTGAGTCCCAGCTCCTCAGTTTCCAATCCTGCTAATGCCCACCTTAGGAAGCAGCAGTTTATGGTTCAAGTACTTGGGTCCCTGCCAACCACAGTGAAGACCCAGACAGAGTTGTGGGCTCCTGACTTTGGTGTTTTTCAGCCATGGCTGTTGCAGGCATTTGAGAAATAAACCAGCAGACAGTAGATCTCTGCCTGCCTGCCTTTCAAATAAAATTTAAAAAAAATTTTTTAAAGAAACATTAAGAAAACTAAGCATACCTATCTTTTGTAAGCTAATAACCTTTTGGCAGCTATGTAATATATATGTATATACATAAACATACAGGCTTGCTTATAAAACTGTAAAAGAATGAATGCCTTAAATTGCAAAGCTCTTAAGTCAGAAGACGAACACAAAATACACTAAATGTCAAATTAACAAACTTTTTGTTAAGAAAAAGTATGAATTTTTTTTGCTGAGCTTTTTAAATAAAGATTATTATAATCTTTGTTCTTTATCCCTGTACTTCAGAATAGTAATTTCTAGACCTTCCCACCTTTAGACCTTTAGAACAAAACAAGTCCTAAATTTTCACTACTAAGACTATATTTAGGTTTGTATGTGAAGGACTAGAAGTGGTCATGATAAGTTGAAGTTTTGTTTTTATATTCAAAATCTTTATTTAGGCAGAGAGGTAGAGACAGTCATCTGTTGGTTCACCCTCAAATGCCCACAATGCCCTGAGCCAGGAACTCAAACTTGATCTCCCACATGGGTGGCAGGAATCGAATTACTTAAACCATCACTGCTGCTCCCCAGGGTCTGCATTAGCAAGAAGTTGGAAGTTGAGCCCAGATACTCTGATGTGGAACACAGGTATCTTAACCAGAATCTTAACCTCTGAACCAAGCAACTGCCCCAAGTTGAAGTTTTTGAAATGGGAAAACAAGCCATATTAAGGATTAGCTTTCTAGCAAAATGTCTTAATTAAAATTTGCTGTTTCCTGATAAGTTAGTCCTAAAAGTACTAGTAAGAAGGCTGGTATATATTTGCAAAGCAATATTTTTTAAAGTAATTGTAGAATTTAGTATATACAAAACCTACCTGAGATGACGAATTCTGGGTTCTTGAGATAATGTTAACATTAGAAACAGCAGTAAAATTGTTATGGGATCCTGGTTCTGTGTGTTGAAAAGCAAATTCTTCAAATCTAGTTTTTTCTCCTGCCATGAAAAGAACCATTGAGGATACCACATTAAACATGATCAATAGATATTACATTAGAATTATTTTCGCAGTTAAGTGAGATATGGTTGTCTGCATTAAATATATTATCAGAAAGCAAAAAGAAGATTCCTGTTAAAGCACTAATTCCTAAACACTCTGGTTCTCAGGTTTCATTTTTTTGTGCTGTTCATGGATGAAATTTCCATGTTCTCAGGATGTTGATGAGAAGTTTCTTTCCATTATCTGTTTCCTCCAAATTCCTTTTTCCTGTTTTAATTCCTTATTTATGTTTAATTATCCACTTATTTATTACTTTTTTAAAGATACATGTACCGTTTTATTACAAAATCATTGTTTTGGCATTAGTTGGTTACAATGAGAGCAAGACTGTGAGTGTGGCAGAGAGCTATAATGCAGCAGCCATATTCCCTGCTCACAGGACCGCAGTTGATTACCTCACACACGTTACATACAAGTTACCTGCAGTCACTACCGCTGTGGATCCTTCTGCGTGTACCATTTAGGGGAGAACTGATGGTAAGCAGTTAGGTTAAGTGCTGGTAAGACTACAAAAGTTCCTTGATGGAAACTTTCTCTGTTCCCTCCCCTCCAGTTACTTTGCTATAAAATAGCTGTTACTCAGAGCTAATCAGATAGCAGCAGCACCCAAGGGAGCAGCACGCTCAGTTCTTACTAAAAAGCAATACTTGTGCAGTGCACATTTCACACCACAGGCAAAGAGAATGATCCTGCATTAGAGTCCCTTAAAAAATTAAAAGCACTTCATCACATTCTTCGGGTTGGTGTTATTGCTGTACATTCGTTGGGAGGTCACTTTTTGTGCTGTGTTTGCTCTGAAGAGATCTTCCAATGTATCTCTCATATTTTTTTAAGTTTTTTTTTTTTAGCTAAGATTTCATATAATGTTTTATTACACATGTTTTCTTTATTGTTAAATTGGTTTTCTACCATGTCTTCATAGATGTCCACAAGAAAGGCAATCAGGAGGAACTATGACTTGGTTGTAAATTAAGTAATTGAATTAATAGATTGGGTATATTTGGGAAGACCACGATCCTGCCAAATCTCTTTCATATGGTTCCAGAGTGTACTGGAGTTCTTTCTCAAACACAGTGCGGTCATTGTAGCCAGTGGTATTAGAAATGACTAAATACCTTTGGTTCCAGACAGTTACTTCTCATCTTGTTGAGAAGCTGGTCTATATACTGCAGCTCATTATCCCAAAGTTTATATTCCTGAATAACCAACCCACTGCCGATGCTGCCAGGTATAATTCTTGGCGTCCGGATTAAGAACATGAGCAATAGCCAAGCTCCTGAGATGGATCTTTCATCCATTCCACTAATGCACGCCTGTGATGCCAAACTTGATAGGCGTAGGGCTGTTCCTTAATTATAGCAGTAATATTCATTTCTTCATGTAGCTGTTTGAAGGGATTTCAAGGAACTCTGTATTGCCACACTGTAGTTGGCTGCATTTAACTCAGTAGCATCTCAGGTCAGTTAAAAAGCTCGCTGGTTTCTTTCATCATGTTGCAGAACAGCTTGGAAGTAATCATACACGTCTCTACATTTTTCACTATGCATGATCTGGACCACTGGATTGGGACCATCATTCTGTGGTACTCAGTCAGTATCAGCCTATTCTGTTCTGCCCCTGCACAGGATGTAGGTGGGCGAGTCCAGACTGAGACACCAGTGGTCCATGGGGACCGCACTGCTTCTCTGGCTTCGGCTGCCATCACTGCCCTGACGCTGCAGCTGGGTTGGTGGCTGGGTGCCTGTGGGGCGGTGGCTGCTCTGGCGGACAGGGCAGCCACCTTGTGCGATCTCCCCATCCCTCTCAGTGGTTGCCCGCAACGGAGGTGGAGATATTACTCTTATTTAGTATGATTTGTAACAGTATTTTCCTGTGCAGGGTAAAATCTAATACCCATTCCTTGTTTATATTGATACAAGCCCTTTATGGCTAGTTTCTTCAAATCGGGATTTGTGTAATGAACTTGAATCTTGTCACCTAGTTTTCTTATAATCTAGACTATACTGTAATTTTTCTAACGTTCACTTGTTAAAGAGACTACATCAGATATCCTGCACTGTGAGAATTACCTACTTATTTCTTTGCAGTATATCATTTCATTTGTTCTGTATCCAATTCCATCCAACTCAGGTCTAAAGTCAGGTCAATTGAAGGGAAACAGTTCACATCTTTGTATTATCTTTGTATTTCATAATGCATCTTTTCAAGAGATTTTTATCAGAGGCTTCCCGTGTTTCAGTCTGTATGTGTAGAGGTTCATCAAAAGCTGTTCCTCAAAGATTGAGGAGCTAAAAAGTATGAAACTATGAACATATATGGGAGTCTGTTAACTTTGTGCCACAATGTAGTTATCAGGTAGTAACTTGGTCTATTATGATGGGATTTCCAAAGATATAATTGCTTTCTAATTTATTGTGAATATTATTGACATATCTGGGAAGTATTTGACTGATGAATATAGTGTTATATCCACTGGAACACTGAATAAGAACCGAAGAAGTATGTAGATGATTTGTGATTCAAAATATGAGATTACCTGAAAAAAAAAAAAAGTCCTGGAAAATGAAGTTAAAAGATAAGTTTATTTGGGTGCAAAATAATTTTTGACATCCATGGACACTATGGATCTTCAAAATAGTTCATGAAAGTGCATATTCTGAAAAAAGTATGCATGGATTTTAAAAGGTTTTTCTACCAAAATATCATTCCATCTTGAAGTTCCCTCATACATATTTCTAGCTCTGTTTTATTATCATTAGTGAAAACTGTGGCAACTGTCTTGTCACATGCCCTTGCAACAGACTTCACTTTGTATTAATAGAAGAGTTTTAGTTTTCAAAGATACTTGATCATCATCAAACTATGTTTGATTGGTCCTAAGGAGAGTTGAACAAAGTTTTTGAGTGCTTCAGTTGGAAGTTTGTAACTTTCTCAAAATCCAGAGGAGGTTCTAGTCAGTCAACATCTCCACAGTAGGTGTTAGAAATGTTAATAAATTGCTGAAGGCAGCCTTGTACTGACTTGAGTCCATAGCAAGACCCTGAAGAGACAATCCTATCCAAGGGTCAGTTGGTGGAAAACAAGTAGCCAGGAAATAACTTTATTGCTGTGAAGTAGTAGATGTTTGTGCACAGAATTTTGATTTAACTATAGGGGTATGCTGTTTAGTATTCAGAGGGTCACAGATGTTTTCTGTAAATAGCAACTGTTCTGTAAGTTTGCAGTATTTAGCACTACTGCTTGTGTCCTCATTTTAACCTACCTAAAGCTGTTTCACTCAAATGTCTTTTCTTTCTTCCCTGTAATAGTTGTGTAGAAGATTCTGACCTTATTTGAGGTTTACACGTAGGTGAATATCCATTTCTCCATTGATTCAAAGAAGTACTATGTACTAAAACAAATAAAAAAATAGGAAATGTGAAGTTTAAGTTCCTTAACACATTCAAATATTTTAAAATAACACAGAATTTTAAGATACCAGTTCAAAATTATAATGAAACACTTAAGTACCAAGACAAATAACTCTAAATAAGAATCCTTTAAAAAATCCTCAAGAAAGGCTCAATTTTCTGTATTCCATTTTTCTAAGGATTTGAAAAGTGAAAGTAATCTACTCTCAGTCTTCCAAGTTACAAATTAGGATTGGTTCAGTTCCATACGTCTTGCCTAAATACAGTTTGAATCCTCAAATTAGTTTTGGTTACCCTTAATCTGGAAATTCATAGCCAGTAGTAGTTAACAGGGTCACACCAGACTTGGACTGCTTGAAACCAATAATCAGATTTCTTCCACCTCTGACAGTGACTAGACACCATTCTTTCACTGTTGTAAGGTGAAGAATTTAACACAATTGTGAGTCATTTAATATCTGTCTCAGTTACCTCATATGTACAATGATGATAATAGATATTTAGGGTGAGTTAATTACTATAATGAAAAGTGCCATGATAAGTTTAATGTTAGTGTTATCAGATTTTTGTCTATGTGAATCCTATATTTCGAGCAATAGCCAAATTGGCTTCTTTCTTGAAACATGGATTTGGAAAGGAGTGGAAAAAGAAATATTTGTAGGATTATATGCCAGACTTTGAATAACCCTGAAATAAAGGGCAGGGCTTACCGAGAATGACCAGGGTTCTGATTTGTGAATGACAAAGTATTCTCAAAGTGACAGAATTAGTATACACAGGCTTATGCAGAGAGGCACATTTTTGTTCCCATTTACAAGCAAAAAGGAGAACGGGTAAATAAAGCAGAATTTGTGAGGACTCTGAAAGGTAATATATTATACAGGATCTGAAGAGAAAACCTGCAGCAGAAGCATATGGGAAAGTGCGGCCACAAAAATGAGGTCACTACCAAAGATCCAGTAGACCTGGCAGAAAGAATGGAGCAGGAAGGTGGACTAGAGCAACTAAACTATGGCACGTGCTGTCATGTGAGCAGGGTGCTGCTAGGTGAGATGTGTCTCAGTGGGTAGCAACAGAGAGCAAAATCAAGAATTTTTGACAGATTAATGGATGACTGAAGAAGAGACAAGTGCACCACTACTACATTTTCATCCTGTATATATCAGTGGTAGAGCAGGGTTAACAGTGGATGTTAGACTCAAAAAGAAATAGTCAAAATGCTGAAAGTCTGAATACTGATGATATAAAATTTTAAAAGCATAAATTACACCTAGAGAAACCAGCTGAAGTATTCAATGAAGCTTTCAAAGAAAATCAGTTAATAAGCTTTTAAAACAACTAATATTTGTCCAGAGAAACAAGCAAGAGATATCTCTATAAAGAAATCTTAGAGGTTAGAAATACAGTTGTTCAAATTTGAACACAAAATCACCACTGCCTGGGTTGAGTAGCAGGACTGACACAGCTTAAAATAAAAATTGGGGTTGAAAGGGCAATTCCACAACTTAGAAGAATGCACTGATGGGAAATAAGAGAAAAATGAGATTAAAAGGAGAGAGTAGAGAGAATGAAGAGAAAACAATATTTGAAGACATGATAGCCAAAATTTTTTCAGTCAATATTAACCCTATTTCAAAGAACTCACCTAAATATATCACAAAGATCCAGGGGCCAGTGCCATGGTGCAGTAGGTTAATCCTCTGCCTGTGGTGCCGGCATCCCATATGGGCACTGGTTCTAATCCCGGCTGCTCCACTTCCAGTCCAGCTCTCTACTATGGCCTGGGAAAGCAGCAGATGGCCCAAGTCCTTGGGCCCCTGCACCCACGTGGGAGACCAGGAAGAAGCACCTGGATCCTGGCTTCGGATCAGCGCAGCCATTTGGGGAGTGAACCAATGGAAGGAAGACCTTTGTCTCCCTCTCACTGTCTGTAACTCTACCTCTCAAATAATATAAAAAAAGGTTAATTTTAAAAAAAGATCTAAAAGTTATAAAAGATGGTTTTAAAAGAACAAAGCAATGAAAATCAGATTCACTCAGCAAGGGGCCGGCACTGTGGCATAGCGAGTAAAGCTGCTGCCTGCAGTGCCGGCACCCATATTGGATGGGTGTTCCACTTCCTATCCAGCTTTCTGCTATGGCCTGGGAAAACAGAAGATGGCCCAAGCCCTTGGGCCCCTGCACCCATGTGGGAGACCCTGAAGAAGCTCCTGGCTTCAGATCAGAGCAGCTCTGGCCGTTGCAGCCAATTGGGGAGTGAACCAGTGGATGGAAGATCTCTCTCTGCCTCTCCTCTCCTTTCTGTAACTCTGACTTTCAAGTAAAATAAATCTTAAAAAAATTTAACAGCAAAATTGGATGTAATAAACCCCTGACTTTAAAGAGTTCAGAGAGAAATGGTAGGCAGAATTGGCCCCCAAGATTTCCCACTAATCAAAAAAGGAGGAAGGAAAGGTGTTGAAAACAAAACATGGCAAGAGTAGTTCTAAACATGTCTAAAAAAGGTTAACTACAATTCTGAAAATTATATTTTCAAGTGTGTATGTGCCCGACACTTGTAGGTGTTCAAAAAGTTAGGTCCCTCTTATTTTAATGGGAGCCTTTCCTGGAGTGCATGAAGCGAATCTCAGATCATTCACCCTCCTATTTTACAAGAACTTCACTCTCCATGTCTCCTAAAAGCACCTCAAACTTTGTGAAGGAATCTTAACTTTCACAAAAGTGGTATTTTTCATTATGTTTTATTCAAATATTCATTTTTATCATTTCTCTCTGTTTCTGAAGTTTCTTGTAAGGATTTCACAGACCTTGATATGGGAACTAGATGACAGTTTACTCCACACATTCTCTTCACCTGTCTGATTAATAAAAATGCTCTCCCAGCCTTTTGTTTGTTTTTCTTGCAAATCCTGGGTGTCCATTCTAAAATATCACAAAGCATCTCTCATATTTCCAGTCTTCCATTTATTGATTTGAGAACCCCAATTATATGACACACACTGTTCTATACGCTGGGGACACAATGGTGAGCAAAATTAAGCATGGTTCCAGCCTGTGGTTTACAAGCAGTATCTCAAAGAATGAACCTATAATGTTTGAGAAAAGAGAAGTACATGAGGTTATTCAGTGTATAATCCAGAGGGAGCACGAATTCTAGGAAAGACTTCTCCAGGTGAAACGGTAGATTTCAAATACGGACAAATGGCTGATGACTTAGGAATGACGAGAATAGTATGTGCAATGGACCAGTGCAGCTGGGAGTAGGACAATATAGGAACTGAACAGCTATGCAGTATAGAGAAATCTGTAGTATAAGGAAATCTGCTGAGAAATAACTCAGAAGCCAGCAAATGTAGGGGTCCTGTGTTAAGAATATTCCATCTCAAATCAAGTAATGGGAGTGGGGAGCAGGTATCACATAGTAAGATCTGCATCTTGAAAAGACCACTGGCTACAACGTCAGAAATACAGGTAAGATAATGTTGGACTGCGAGTGGTAGGAAGGAAGGAAGGACAGATTTGAAACAGAAGATCAGATGGACAGCTTGCCAGTTTATACATAGGAAGTGTGGGTAAGAATTCTGAGCCCTGGACATTTGTGTAAGGGGGCTGTTCCCCGTTTAAAACATAACAAGCTTTATTTAGACATAATCTCAGAGAATCTTGAATGCAAAGAATCCCCATGTATATTTTACTCAAAATTCACTAAATGTTAACATTTTGATATATTTGCTGGCATAATGCTCCTAGATGTATCAATGTGTATTTCTCAAAAACAAGGACATTCTCTTACATAGGCACATAGTTGTCAAGATCAAGTCAACACCATTATTTGACCTATACACCTATTCAAATTTCACCAGTTACCCTTGTTATAGCACATCCTGATCACTCAGGGCACTCAGTTGTCAGATCTCTTGAAAGTCTTCTTGTATCTGAAACAGTCCCTCCGTCTTCCTTGTTGTTCATAACTTGCATGTCTTTTAAGTACAGACCTTATATTTGTTTTGTCTGTATTTCTTCTTTTTGACACTAATATCTATTCACTCTTCAGTCCACTACATCTTGACATCACCCTATTGCCTGAATTCAGCAGTGTCTTTATAATTGCAAAATATAATGGGTAGTATAGAAAAATCTAGGCTCTGTATGTAGCAAAGGCACGCAAAACACAGCCCTCTCTACCTCACACAGTTGACCACACCAGAATACCTTGCTATTTGTACATACTTGAACACATCACATTGCTTCATTGCATGAAATGGCATGCATTTGTTTGTATTATTTAAAGCCTTGTTACTTAATATATACCAGCAGCATTTTACTCACCTGGGACCTTGTAAGAAATGCAGAATCTCAGACCACCTTCCAGGCTTGTATCAGAGTCTGTATTCTAAAAATATCCCTTTACCTCTGTTATTCTGCCTTCTCCTAGGAAGGGTCATACCATCCTCTTCTTTAAAGAATTATTTTTAATCATATATCTGCATCCATCTTTCTATATATTAGTTATCTGTGTCTACTTCCACCTATTATAATTTCTTTGATTCCTCGGCACTTAATAGCCTGCCTAGCACACAGTAGTTACTCAATTAATGCTGAATTCTTATTTTTCTTAATTCTGTAGAAATCACTAATAGTAAAAGAAAAATTAATGAGCTGCTATTTAATACACATATAGGGTGCAATGTTATTAATGCTTAATTATTTCGGATGAGATGGTAGCAAATGAGAAAACAGGGGAGACTAAGATACAAAGCAATAATTCATTGATTTCCCTAACTAACTACTGAACATGCAGCATTCAACTCAAATTATTCCATCTCTGTCTTAATTTTCCATTACTAACATGTTATTACATCACTGGAACATTATTATTAGTGCCTAACTTAGTGCTTTATTTTTTAAGTCATATAAACAGTACAGCAATATTTGAATATCAGAGCACAGGTTTGTGTGTTTAAATTTGGCTGCTCTGCTTCCTATCTAGCTTTTTGCTAATGTGCCTGGGAAGGCATAAAAAATTGGACCAAGATCTTGTGTCCTTATCACACATGTGGGAGACCTGGACGGAGTTCCTGGCTCTTGGCTTTGGCCTGACGTAGAGCTAGCTGTTGAGACTATTTGGGGAATGAAAGAGCAGATGGAAGATTCTCTTTTTCTCTTCTTACTTTCTGTGGCTTTGCTTTTCAAATAAATTAATTTTAAAAAGAAATATAATTTATTCTTTCTTAACAGCATATATTTTCACTTTTGCATGTCCCTTTTAAATCATATACATATATAGTCTCATAATTAACACACATATTTCAAATTTGAAATAATGATTTTATTCAGAAAATGGTATTATTATTCCCAAAATCACTCATTTTTTCAAATGGTTACTATACATTTCTCTGATTAGAGATAATATCATTTAACCCTAATTATTGGGCATGATAGTTTCATCACCATAATGAATTATAGCTACAATGGACATTCTTAAAATAATCATTTTCAGGGATATATTTTCCCCCTTGGAAAAAAGTTTAGTCTCAGCATTAATTAATATCACAACAAAGGACCAAACAAGTATGTTATGGTCTCTTCCCTAAGCATAGACAATTGGTTTTTGCCATTGTGTTTCCTTTTTTTTTTTTTTTCCCCCTTTCTTTCTCTAACTTTTTACCAGGGAAGAAATTTAAACACAAAGTTAGACTGGTATATAGAACTCCCTTATATCTATCATTAAATTTTAGCAATAACCAACTTACGACCAATCTTGTTTCATCTCTCTTCCACCGTTTTTTGCTATAGTATTTTAAAGCAAAACCTGCATGTATCTTTTCATCTACATATATGTCACTATGAATTGCTTTTAAACAAATTAATAGCGTTGTGTATTTATGTAACCACAATGCTTTATTACATCTCACTAAACTAGTAATTCATCAATACCATGTAACAGCTCATCCGTGTTCACATTTCTCTACAGAATATAATATTCCTATGTATGTGTATATTTACAGCTAGTTTGGTCAATTCATAATACCAATAAGGTCCACACATTGCATTTGACTAATAAAATATAAACATTTCATTGTGATTGTAACTAACTATAAAATAAAATAAAATCTTATCAAAAATCTTTTTATCAAAAAAGTTTTTGATGAATATGTTTCCATCCTTACATGAATTTGTAAGATTTTGTGAAGGTTGCACAGTCCACTGTAGTGTATAATTAATCAGGTTACTATATCCTTATTATTTGCTTTGAGTTGTTGCTAAATTTTCATTTCACAAAAAAATATTAAGATGAAAATATTTGTGAATAAAGGTCTCATATTTAGGATTAGATTACATTCTTAGAAACGGAATAACTGGCTCAGAATGCAGTTAAGAATTCAGTAAACATTTATTATGAGCAGATACAAAAGTAAACAGATGGCTTTTTTACTACACTGAGCTTATAAAAAGATACATAGTTTAAAGACCTTGTAATGCAAATCACAGTGCTTCCCCCAAGGTTTGTTATCAGTTCTTAACTTTTTTTACAGAAATCATGCCAAAAGTTGGTGATTATGTTTGAACTCATCAATGTAATAGGCAAAAATAGTAAACATTCACAAGTGTCTAACACATAAACTTTCAGTAAATGTTTGCTATTACCATTCTCATTATCAAATACATGTGTAGTTTCTATTCTAATTCTCTTAAGACATCATTGTAAACATTTAATTCTAATCCATCTGAAATGCAGTTTTAATGCTCATCCATCTTAAGTGTTATATGCTGTAGAAGGTTCAGACTCATTTTTTTAAGAGTCATCACTTACTGCCACTATTAAAAAGGAACTTACTAAGTTAGAGTATGGACTTTGAGCCAGACTGCTTGGGTTTGAATCCTGGACCTACAACTTTTCAACTGTGATTTTGATAATTTAGTCAAGGGGAACAACACATAATAATATCCATTTAACAGGTTAAAAGAATTAGGTAATATAAAACCCTACAACCTGGCATATAAGGAATGCATCCTGACAATTTGTGGGGCAGTTGGTTGGCACAGTGGTTAAGAGACCACTCAGGACATCCAGATCCCATATTGGAGGCCTGGGTTTGAGTCTCTGTTCAGTTCTTGATTCCAGCTTCCTGCTAATGTACATTGCGGGAGGCACCAGGTGATGGTTCAGGTAGTTGAGTCCCTGCTAACTTCATGGGAGCCCTGGATTGAGTTGCTGTCTCATGACTTCCACCTGGCCTATGTCTGGTGGCTGTGGACATTTGGGGACGAAACCAGCAGATGGGAGATCTCGCTCTCACTCTCGCTGTCTCTCTCTTTCTCTCCCCCATCTCTGCCTTTCAAATAAATAATACTATTAATAATAAATTAAAATTAAAAAGTAAAAACATAACAGTGACATTTAACAAAGAGTCTTTGTTGTGATTATTTACTGACTGGGCCATCCCTTCCATACTAATAGGAAAAACTACTTTACTGTATAATGAACTCTTGGGTCTGCTGCCACGCTTATTTGGTTCTATTGACCTGCCTTCCATAAGTATTACCATATTTTAATGCTATAACTTTATAAACATTTTGATATCTGACACCTCCTCCTATTGATCTTTTAAAATTTTTATTGGCTATGTTTAACATTTATTTTTCTCTGAATAAACTTAAATTTAACTTTGTTCCAAAGTTTTTGTCTAAAAGAGTATCTCTTTGATTGTGATTAGAATTACATAGCAATTATAAATTAATCTGGGGGAAAACTGACATCTTAAGTTGTAATACTGCCTTCTGACAGAAGGGAGCATTTATCTTCCCAGGTTCTTCAGTAAACTTTTCGAAGTTTTCTTCATGTAGGTCCTTAGAAAGTTCAATCCAAGATATTTCATAATTTCATTATCAGTATCTCCAGGATAATGTTCATTTACATATTCTATCTAGTTATTACTGATATTTCTAAAAGTTACTGATTTTTATAAATTTATAAAATGACTCTAACAGGTATTAAATTTGACTTGACTTTTTGAGGTTAATGATTATTTAATCTGGATGTCATACATCTTGTATACTTGACTTTTTTTTTTCCTTTAAATATTTGTTTTTATCTACATGAAAGGCAGAGTTACAGAGACAAAGAAAAAGAGCTTTCATCTGCTGGTTCACCCCCCAGATGGCTGGAACAGTACAACAGCTAGGGCTGAGCCAGACCAAAGCCAGGAGAAAGGAGCTCCATTTGGGTACCTGGAACCATCATTCACTGCTTCCCAGGTGCATTAGCAGGAAGCCAGATTGGAAGCAGAGTAGCTGGGACTTCAACTGGCACTCTAACATGGGATGCAGGCAGCCCAGCAGTGGCTTACTCACTGAATCAAAATACTTGCCCTGCATGACTTTTTGATATAAAAAAGATTTTAACTTCTCAGATAATCAAAATATGGTAATGTTTTTCTTTCTTCTAATTGCTTCCAAGCATAGACAATGTCTTCAATATAATTTAGCACACTCATAAATATTTCATTACAATTTCTGCAAGTTTTATTATGTAGTTTTAATGTTTCATATTTAAATTATTGGATTCAACTAGAATTTATTCTGATTCATGGTATGAAATGAGCATATAAAGTAATTTTACTCAAGAAGTTAAAAATACTGTTTATTGAATGGTGCTGTACTTTCCCATTGATATACAATTTTTCTCTGATCACACAATAAACTATGCAGTCTGCTTTATCAATCTGTTTTACTGAATATAAGCAAAACAGAATCCAAGTTAACTATTAAATGCTTTTGTCATGTTGCCATAAGTAGTTGAGATTTTCTTTTCCCAGTATTTCTTTGTATATTTTCTCTTGTTAGCTCTTCCCCATAGCTTTGGCATTAAGTTAACAAAATCTATTAGAACTTCTAGTTACATTGTATTAAGCTGATGAAGTAGTAGTATATCCTTATTAATATTTTATATAAATGCTGCTTCTCCATGTTTATTTAATTTCCTATTATTTATTGTTAATACTTCATAATTCTCATTCAATAGGTAACACACATTTCTTGTTAGGATTGCTCTTGTGTATTTTCTATGTGTGTGTGTCTGTGTGTGTGATTTGTGAGAAGTTAGTGTTAAAAATTAAGGATTTACATTTATTTTTTGTTAAATTTTATTTACTGAGAATGCAAAAATAAATATGAAGGATGTAAAAAGGTATATAAAGTGCAAGATTTGTAAATGTAACATACCAGCTGTTGGAGCTATGACACAGTCGCCTACAAATTTATTTTCATCAAGATCTCCTTTTATTTCATTCTTTTTAAATAAGGTTTCAAAGTGAAAATGAAGAGGCACATCTGGAAAAATAAAGTAAAAATGTATTTTCAGTGAATATCCTTCTTCACAGGCTGAAATACAACTCAGATCACTTATTTTCTAAAAGTAGCACTCATGCTTAAAAAAACTAGCAAAGTTTGAAAAGCTGGTAAAATACTCTTTTCAAGCATCTTGTACATGTACTTAATAAACGAACAAAAAACCCTAACAAACTTCATGAGCTTTCTGAAAGTGTATAACATGAACCATACTTGTAAATATTAATAACTATTACTTACATATGAATGGAAACAAACGCACCCATGAGGTCTTTAAGGAAACCGATAGCCAAACCTGAACTCTATCCATTTCACCTTAATCTCCAATACTATGCATCTGAAATAATGGCTTTCCAAAAGATATATTACATGCTTCTAACTACTTGGAGAAAAATTGCTATAATTCAGATGTAATTTCCTTTCTTTTTAAAAATAACATGTATTTATTTATTTGAAAGGCAGAGTGACAGAAAGAGAGAGAAAAAGAGGTCTTCCATTTGCTGGTTCACTCTCCAAATGACCAGAACAGCTGGGACTGGGCTAGGTCTAAGCCAGGAGAATGGAACTCCATATGGGTCTCCTACGCAGAAACAGAGGCCCAACCACTTAGGCCATCCTCTGCTGCTCTCTCAGGCACATCAGCAGGGAGCTAGATTGGAAGTGGAGTAGCTGGGACTTGAACTGGTGCTCTGATAAGGGGTGCCGGCGTCACAGGAAGAGGCCTAACCTGCTGTGCCACAGCACCAGCCCTCCATTCACTCTTTTTCTAAAGAATGTGACGCAGGGCTATTTAGGGTGTGCAGAGCTGTTCTGCTACTGCTGCTGCCTAGGTTTAGAACTTTCCACCACCCTCGAAAGAGACCCCTGTATCCAGCAGCAGTCACGGCCCAGTGTCTCCTTTCCCCAGCTCCTGGTAGGCACCAATCTAACCTTCTGTCTGTGGGTTGGTCTGTTTTGGGCATTTCATATCAGGGGTCCTCAGGAGGTCATGGAAAATGGGATTTAAAGGCAGCGTAACATCCATCAAGTTCAGGACCCTTTTGCATGTGATGGTCCCAGCCATTTACTCCATCCCTAAAGAACTGAGCGTCCTGGGAATTTAACCCTGTAGAGGCACTCTTCTTAAGTTACTAAATGAAGAAAAACAGGCACCTTTTAGAGATTTTTTTTTTTAAGATTAGGAAACCAAAAGAAGTCAGAAGGGGCCGCCTCAGGACCCCAGGCAGGTGCCTAACGATTTCCCCCAGCAAAACCCTCACAGAACTGCCCTTCCTCTATGAGAGGAATGAGCAGGAGTGTTGCCAGGGTGGGGTGGGTGTGCAATTTCTTTATGAATAAAAATTTCCACATTCCCTAAGGTTACAAATTATTCTACTTTTACAAATATTAAAGCCTATTCTTTTAAATAAAGTTGTAGAGAGAGACAGTCAATATCACATGCTCATATTCTATATTCTCACAACTAATGGGGTAGTTAAATAGATGTGGTTCACAATTATTAATAGTTTTTTCTTTCAAGAATGTAAAAATAAAATTATCTAAAAAGCATTTAATAGAGACAGCTAAACTTTACCTTTATGAACAAATATTTTGTAAAGCAGTTAATACGTGAAAGTTTTACTAGTGAAAGAAGGTATTTATTGTTAAGAAAATCAAGTATGAACAAATAAATCACAGTAGATTCAGGAAGGATCTAAATTTTAAACAAAGACAAGATGTATCACTCCCTCAAATGATATATTTTAGTGGTAGGTCCATACTCAAGTGTGGAAAAATATGCAAAAAGTAAAAAAGGTTCATGAGTATCACCATAGAGTTTGTCCCAAGAGATGAAAATGAAAATGAGAACATAAATAGTCCTCTAAAACACTGCTTAACTTTAAAACACTGCTTTAAAACACTATTTTTAAACCTTTATTTAATAAATGTAAATTTCCAAAGTACAACTTTAGATTATAGCGGATTTTCCCCTCACAACCTCCCTCCCACCCACAACCGTCCCATCTTCCATTCCCTCTCCCATCCCATTCTTCATCAAGATTCATTTGTAATTATCTTTATATACAGAAGATCGTTTTAGTATATACTAAGATTTTAGCAGTTTGCACCCACACAGGTATACAAAGCATAAAGTACTGTTTGAGTACTAGTTTTACTGTTAATTTGCACAGTACAACACATTAAGGACAGATCCTACATGGGGAGCAAGTCTACAGTGACTCTTGTTGTTGATTTAACAATTGACACTCTTATTTATGACGTCAGTAATCAACTGAGGCTCTTGTAAAGAGCTGCCAAGGATATGGAAGCCTCTTGAGTTCACAAACTCCAACATTATTTAGACAAGGCCATAGTCAAAGTGGAAGTTCTCTCCTCCCTTCAGAGCAAGGTACCTCTTTCTTTGATGGCCTGTTCTTTTTGCTGGGATCTCACTCACAGAGATCTTTCATTTAGGTCATTTTTTGTTGTTGTTTTTTGCTACAGTGTCTTGGCTTTCCATGCCTAAAAAACTCTCATGGGTTTTTTAGCTGGATCGGAATGCCTTAAGGGCTGATTCTGAGGCCAGAGTGCTGTTTAGGGCATCTGCCATTCTATAAGTCTGCTGTATATCCTGCTTCCCATGTTGGAACATTCTCTCCTTTTTAATTCTATCAGTTAGTATTAGCAGACACTAGTCTTATTTATATGATCCCTTTGACACTTAATCCTATCATTATGATCAATTATGAACTGAAACTGATCACTTTGACTAGTAAGATGGCATTGGTACATGTCACCTTGATGAGATTGATTTGGAATCCCCTGGCATTTTTCTAGCTCTATCATTAGGGTTAAGTCTGAGTGAGCATGTGCTGAATCGTACATCTCCTCCCTCTCTTATTCCCACTTTTATATTTAACAGGGATCACTTTTCAGTTAAATTTAAACACCTAAGCATAATTGTGTGTTAATTAAAGAGTTCAACCAATGGTATTAAGTACAACAAAAAAATACTAAAGGGAATAAAATAGTAAGTTGTTCCTCGACAGTCAGGACAAGGGCTAATCAAGTCATTGTTTCTCATAGTGTCTATTTCACTTCTACATGTTTCCTTTTAGGTGCTCAGTTAAGTGTCACCAATCAGGGAGAACATATATTTGTCCCTTTGAGACTAGCTTATTTCACTCAGCATGATGTTTTCCAGATTCCTCCATTTTGTTGCAAATGATTGGATTTCATTTATTTTTACTGCTGTATAGTATTCTATAGAGTCCATATCCCATAATTTGTTTATCTAGTCTACTGTTGATGGGCATTTAGGTTGATTCCATGTTTTAACTATTGTGAATCGAGCTGCAATAAACATTAAGGTGCAGACAGCTCTTTTATTTGCCAATTTAATTCCCTTTGGGTAAATTCCAAGGAGTGGGATGGCTGGGTCATGTGGTAGGTCTATATTCAGGTTTCTGAGGAATCTCCAAACTGTCTTCCATAATGGCTTTACCAGTTTGTATTCCCACCAACAGTGGATTAGTGTGTCTTTTTCCCCACATCCTCACCAGCATCTGTTGTTAGTTGATTTCTGTATGTAAGCCATTCTAACTGGGTGAGGTGAAACCTAATTGTGGTTTTGATTTGCATTTCCCTGATGGATAGTGATCTTGAACATTTTTTCATGTGTCTGTTGGCTGTTTGGATTTCCTCTTTTGATAAATGTCTATTTAGTTCCTTGGTCCATCTCTTAAGTGGGTTGTTTGTTTTGTTGTTGTGGAGTTTCTTGAAATCTTTGTAGATTCTGGATATTAACCCTTTATCAGTTGCACAATTTGCAAATATTTTTTCCCATTCTGTCGGTTGCCTTTTCACTTTCCTGACTGTTTCTTTTGCAGTACCGAAACATCTCAATTTGATGTAATCTCAATTGTTAATTATGGCTTTGACTGCCTGTAAAACACTATTTGACACCAATTTGTTTTTTCTTGGTTGTGGGAAAACACAACATAGCTAGAGAAGATCATTGTTCCACCCATGTGTCTTTCTTAGAACCCAACTGTGAGCTATAAACTTCTATCACAATATTTCATAACACATTATTTCACTCACTAGTTTATATTTCAGTTTTCTTAAACTAGAATGCAGGTACTTTGGGGGACTTATTTATAATTATACTCCTAACTCCTATTTAGTACCTGGTATACAAGTGTAATAGATATTAAGATTTTTATTAAATGAATGCAAGAAAGAATGAATAACCCTAACTAGTAGGTAAAGAAGCTAATCTTATTTATTAGATTAGCATGCCTTATAGCTAAAAGTCTATTGGATGAAGGAGATTAATGCAAGCTTTCAAGGTTATGCAATTAAAGAAATACATTTTCTAATAAGAAAACAAGAGTGATGATTAGGAGTGTGGCTTCAGATCAATCCTTGTCTCTATTAATTTATTAACTGAATAATCTTGGCTGAGTAACAACATTACTAAGTTCAAGTTTCTCATATGTAAGATGAAGAGTGCAACAGTATATATTCTAATGAGGTTGTTGTGAGAATTAAAATGTAATGTGGTTGTGACATGACAGAAGTGGAGAACCTTTTTTCTGCCAAGGGCTGTTTGAATGTTTATGACATCATTCATGGGTCATAAAAATTATCAACTTAGAAAATAGCCTGCTATAGAATTTCGATTCCTGCCTGTGGTTGCCTTGCTAGGGCAAGACCAAATGATTTTGTGGGCCTTATGTGGGGCCCTGGGCTGGATGTTCCTTATCCCTGTTATATGAGGTGCTTTAAAAAATGAATAGAAAATGGAATTACAAGATAAGTTTATTTTGGTGTAAAATTTTTTTGAAATCCATGCATAGTTTTTTTAAATAATATGCATTTTTCATGAACTCTTTGAAGATCAGGGCTTACTGCATGCTAACCCAAAATGCTAACTGCATTATTAATTGTCATGCTGATTTCTTCCTATTATAAAGGTTGATTTTCAAAGATGGAATAAAATAGTTCTGGTAGGAACTCATTTTAAAGTATGTGCAGATAAATAGTGACTATAATATTGGTAAGACCCAAACTTACAATTCAGGGTAGGTGTAGGCCCAAAAAGTAGTGTGCTACAAGAGAAGCAGTCCCTTGATTTTTTTTTTCTTTAGAATGGAAATTAACTTTATTTATTTATTTAATTTGATTTAAGTTATACAAATTTCATATAAGTCCCTTGATTTTAAGAATTTGAAAGATGATTGGAGCCACAAGCTAAAAATGACACAAAATCCTATTTAAAATATCCCCTAGTTAAGAGATGAACCTGAAATAACCAACTTGAAGTTTTCTTTCCACAGAAAATATTTACTTTTAGTTTACTGAAGTTTCCTTGCCAAAAACCAAGAACTGGAAATTGAAAACTACATCAGGGGTATGCTAGTACAAGCCTCATTTTCTCAGTTATATATTATAGATAATCCTGAAGTTCAACAGTTGTCTAGACATATAGATACATAATTTCTTTCCTGTTGAAGAAACTCAATGTAGATTATAAGTGGAGGAATATTACATAGCAGGGAAAATTCCATTTAAAATTGCATATTAGAAAAGGAACATTTGCTGTTACTGAGAAATATTTCAACAACATAGCCTTGTTCCTAATAAAATTCTCAAACATTAACCAAGAAGATAAAAAGCAGTTATTTCTCAAAGGGAATCTAATTGGTTTAAAACAAACTACAGAATCACCTCCACAGAACATTAACTCTGCATATGACTAAATTAATTTCTCTATGAGAACTGCTAAGTTTTAATATCTTATAACAAAATAACTGGTGACATTTTATTAGATTCCCTGTGCCTCTAGCATTAGACTTCACTAGAGAAAATATCCAGTGAGTTGGAAATTTTTAGGAGGCTTACCTGATGGCAATGATAGGACAGAATGAAAAGCAGGATCTAACTCTGATACATGTTCTCTTAATATCTGAGAGTTTGGATTGTGTTCATAACTACTCCAAGCTGAAGCTGACTGTAGACAAGATGGCATTTGTGTAGTATTTAAAAGTGTTGCTTCTTTTGAAGGCAAAGTCTGCAAGGGGGGAAAAAAAATAAAGACTTACTTTTGCAGGAAAACTGAGTGAGAAACAGTGTAACTATTATAATACAGTATCTGAATCACACCAGAATAAAGTCTTGGCTTAATAAGTCACCTTGAAAGAAAACATCAAAATGAAGAAGAGTGACAAAAGCTATTGAAGAACTGGCCATGAATGTAATAAGTTTTCACTACCTTTGTTTTTTTTTTTTTTTCTTTTACAAAAACATGATCACAGTAAAAAGAATTCATGACTATGGCATATCTCTTTGTTTATTTAGATCATCCTGAATTTCTTTGAATGTAACTTAATAATTTTCTTCTATAAAAGTCTTACACATACTTTGTTAAATGTTCTCCTAGTTAAATTTAATATTAGTCATTTGAATTGCAAAAGGCACTTAGAAACATAGAAACATAATTGTTATAGATGAAATACCATAACCTTTCTTTCTTATTATATGCGTAATTTCTGTTCATCTATTATCTAAGCATTGTCTTCAAACAATAACAATTTGATTTCTTTCATTCATCCTAATACCTTTATTATTACTTAGAGGATTTGAGCCAGGCTTGATGGAGTCACCAGTTTAATAATAAGTAGAAATGGTCAAAGGAGATTCTTGTTTTGTTTCTGATTATAATAGAAATGCTTTTAATTAATCAGAACTAAAATAACACGGATAGTAGGATTTTTTTGGTATGCTCTTTATCAGAATATAGTCCTAGCTTACCAAAATAACTTTAAAAATGTTAATACTGAATTTAAGTATATGTTTTTTCTGAACATATTTAAGTGATTATATGGCTTTTCTTTAGTCTATTATTATGGTGAATTACATTTACAGATTTTTTAAATGTCAAAGCAAACAGTTGTTATTCTAGAGGAATTGTATTAGGGGTTTATCAAGCTTATTAACCTTTTCAAAGTATCAGCAGTTAGATTTGTGGATGTTCTATCATATTTGTTTTATATTTCACTGATTCTTTTCTTTAGGATTAATCAAATGTTTTATTATATTTTTTCCCTTTTGCTCACCCTCATGGCCCAGTGACCTCCCAAAAACCACATAGCCAACACTGGGGATTATGTTTCTACATATGAATTTGGGTGGAGGGACACAGTCTATGTAGCATTCTACCACAGACACTGAAATACATGTCTTCCTCACATGCAAATACATTCATTCCATTCCAACAGAGCCACAAGTCTTAACCCATTCCAACATCAATTCAAAAAGTCCAAAGTCTCATGTAAATATCGTCTAAATCAGATAAAAGTGAACTCAATGTACAATTCATCCTGAGCCAAATTCCTCTCCAGCTGTGAACCTGTGAAACTAAAAGTAAAGTGCTTCTAAAATGCAATGGCAGGACAGGCATAGGATAAATACTCTTATTCCAAAAGGAGAAATCAGAACGAAAATAAAAGTGCCAGGTCTCTAGCAAATACAAAACTCTACAGTGCAAATTTCATTACACATTAAGGCTCCAGAAGAATTCTCTTTTGTCTGATGCTCTGTGCGATGGTGCATCCCCAAATACAAAGGTTCCAAATGATGTAATACTTAGAGAGAATCCTCTCTCCCCACCACCAGATGGATAAACAGATCTGAGAGTATTCCTAAATTTTCCACAATTTTCTCTGCTCATTTCTACTTCTGATCTTTTTCTTAAGTGTACACTGAACAATGCTACTCTACTTTTAAGGTTTTTGCCTTTTATGTTTTAAGCCTCTAGCTCTGTATATCCTCAGTATTCAGCTGAGGAGAACATTGGCCAAAAATATTCTGAATTGAAACCTGGGCACATGCTTCCTGCTTCCCAAAAATACCACCAAAAGCACCCCCTAGAGCTGTCATTACTGGTATTTGCACAAAATTCAAATTTCCTGCCAGAGGTCCAGGGCAAAAGTGGTTGCTGAAGCCAACTCTTTGCAGACATTTGTCAGACATTCTCCTCTAACCTTTATTTTTATTAATTGTTTTTTCATTTCTTTTTTCTCTATGCCTAATTTTGCATACTTTTATTCAGAACTATTATTCAATTCAATTCTCTCCAGCTGTATCTATCCAGTTCTCAATCATACTAGCAATTTTTTGCTTCATGAGCATTTCCCTTAAACCTATTAAGCTTACTTATTTTTACATTCTCTATAGACTAATTCCAACATTTGAGGTTATTTCTGTGGATGTATATGTGTTTCTATGTGTACATCTGTACCTACAAACATATTTTATAGGAATTTATTCTATTATACATATGCATGCTTTCTCATATGTATGTAGGTATGCTTGTTTATTTCTGCTGACTTTTATCATGTTGCCATCATACTGTTGTGTTTTATGATTTTTTAATCCTTATTGGGAATTCATTTTTGTTGAAATGAATTTGTTTATTTGTGGGATTCCTTAGATGCTTCTGTCAAGAGTCCTAGAAAGGATACATATGCCGGCCAACTAACCTATTTTTAAACCCAATTCTTGGGGCTGGCACTGTGGTGTAGTGGGTAAAGCTGCCGCCTGCAGTGTCAACATCCTATATGGGCACCCGTTTGAATCCTGGCTCTCCACTTCAGATCCAACTCTCTGCTGTGGCCTGGGAAAGCAGTAGAAGACGGCCCAAGTCCTTGGGCCCCTGCACCCGCATGGGAAATCCGGAAAAAATTCCTGACTCCTGGCTTTGGATAAGATCAGCTCTGGCCATTGTGGCCATTTGGGGAGTGAACCAGTGGTTGGAAGACCTCTCTCTCTGCCTGTAACTATGCCCCTCAAGTAAATAAATCTTTTAAAAAATTCTTATTTGATTTTAAAATAAAACATTTGGGTAGCATGGTTGCAGAATTTAAAGATGAAAGAGGCCTAACTTTCTGTTATAAACTGTATGCAGACTCTATTTTCTCTATTCAGCTTGAGCCCAAGTCAGAGAAAGACAAATTCTTTGCATCTCTAAGCAGCAACTTTGAACTCTAGTTGCAGCCTTTGAAAATTCTTGCCTTTATGCACTTTTCTAAAAGACTCCTCACATTCTAGGTTCTAGGCTTTGTTTCCATTTATTCTCTAGAATATTAAACAGGGCTGGCACTGTGGCATAGCAGGTTAAACCACCGCCTGCAGTGCCAGCATCCTATATGGGTACCAGTTCAACTCCCAGCTGCTCTACTACCAATCCAGCTCCTTGCTAATGGTCTGTGGAAGATGACTTAAGTGCCTGGGCCCCTCCGCCCACTGGAGAGGGCTGGATGAAGCTCCTGGCTCCTGATTTCATCCTGGCCTGACTGTTGTGGCCATTTGGGGAGTGTACCAGTAGATGGAAGATTTCTCTCTATGCCTCTGTATCTCCCTCTCTGTAACTCTGCCTTTCAAATCAATAAACACATCTTTAATTAAACAAAAACTTATACTAGTTTTAATTGGAAAACATCCTTAAGGCAGATTCAGCTTCAGTAGTCAGTTATTTCCCTGTATTCATTCACTCATTCTCTCCCCTCACCATTGTATTTCCTTTATTTCTAGCCAGATTAGCCAGCTGTCCATAGTAAGGAAAAAAACCCTACATTTTACATCCTAATTTTTGTACCTAAAGGCTTTTTCTAAGGAAGCTATTCCATTAAATCACTGGAATCAGAAGCCCTGAATTGAGTCTGGCAACTGAAAGGTAACTCTGATCATTAAACAACTGTTAAAATAAAACAGTTTTGTTGGATGCTGCACTACAGTAGGGTGCAGAGTGAAATAAAATAAGAAATTAGAGTCATTGTGGTGCTTCTCGGGGAATGCAATATGTAGAGATGATTCCAGCTTCTTTCAAACGTGTGGAGGGAAGAAATTAAGCAGTAACTACAAGTGGAAGTGCTACTAAAAAACAAATTTTGAAAGTAGGAAAAGCATTTCCATCTGTGCCCATCAAACAGTACAAGTATGAGGCCTATACCAAACAACCTTTTTCAGAATTTGGACAATAGCCAGCACAAGACTTATTCCTGAGAGAGAAGCCAGTGTGGTGATCATATGAATCTACCGACTTGTTGATGGTAGATATGTTCCTGGATCATTGCACAGGGAAGTTATCCCAAGTACAGAATAACTTTCTAGCTGACTTGAAGAAACAGATGTCAAGGGTTTTGAGAGAAAAAGATTTAACTGAACAGAGTGCTAGGAAAAAAAGTTATACAGAGAAAGAGTTCCAGAAGTCTACAAAGTGTACCTTCCAGTCTTTTGTTAGATAATAATCTATACATGCATGGAGTCAAACAATAGCTTGACAGTTTAAGAACAACTAATTTGGAGTGGGTGTTTCACCTAGCAGTTTAAGATACTCCCTCTTTGCATTGGAGGACCTGGGTTCAATTCTCAACTTCAACTCCAGACTCCAGCCTCCTGCTAATGCAGACCCTAGGAGTCAGTTGTGATGGCTCGAGAAATTAGGCTTCTGCTTCCCACATAGGAGACCTGGCTTGAATTTTCAGCTCCTGGCTCTGTCCTTAGCCCATCTCAGTTGTTACAAGCATTAAGGGAGTGAACGACCCAATTAGAACTGTTTATCTATGTGTCACTGTCTCTCAAGAAAAAAAAACAAAACATGGGACCAGCACTGTGGTGTAGCGGGTAAAAGCCACCGCCTGCAGTGCCAGCACCCCATATGGGCGCTGGTTCGAGACCTGGTTGCTCCACTTCCAAGCCAGCTCTCTTATATGGCCTGGGAAAGCAGTAAAGAATGACCCAAGTCCTTGGGCCCCTGCACCATGTGAGAAACCTGGAAGAAGCTCCTGGCTCCTGGCTTTGGATCAACACAGCTCCGGCTGTTGCGGCCAACTGGGGAATGAACCAGTGGATGGAAGACCTCTCTCTCTGTGTAACTGTGACTTTCAAGTAAAATAAATAATCTTAAAAAAAACACACAACTTCCAAATGAAAGCATGAAAAAAGAACAAACAGGATAAATAAAATACAAACAGTAAGATGGTAGATTTAAAACTAACCTATCATAATTAT